CAAACTTGGAGACAGTGGAACAGGCTCCCCCCCAAGCTTGGCTGGCTTGGCTGGCTTGCAATTCCGAAGTTCGCGATGTGCAAGAACAAGCACGGACCCTCAAGCATGACCTATATAAAACTCTTTGGGTGGACTCATTTGTTTTGAACAGCTTCATTCGACACCCACGCTATTCCATGGGCCTTTTCAGATGCTCTCCGCTCTCCGTGCCCGAAAACGAGGGCGGCCCACGCCCGCGCCACGCCTCCGCGGACTCCGCGGGCCACCTAACGCGACCGACGAACCGCGGAGAAGCGCCGCGGTGCTTTGGAGGTCGGGACCGGGCCGCGCACGGAGTTGAAGAAGGTGGGGAAGGTGGTCATGGTCTCCAAGTGGCTTGGACGCGCAAGAAGGCGCAGTCGTAGCCGAAGAAGACGCGCTTTCCGGTCATGGAACGGGAGGCTGGAAGCCCTAGAAGTCGTGGCCCGCCATTGTATGTCAAACACCCGGGTCGAACAATGTTTTTCGTACACCAGCACCGACTTCACAGGGTCACCAATTGAAAGCTGTTAAGGCCTTTCCCAACCCTCCATTTCGGAGACCTGTTGGTTGGGTTCGGTGCTGGTACAAAATGCCAGATCAGCCTAGATCAACCATTTTGGACATGGTCGGAAGGACTTTCGGGCTTCGGCCTTCTTGTGCGGGGACTCCGTGCACGTAAGCACGGGCTTCAACCCTGGATCTTCCAACTGCCAACAATTCTACCCTCGCTGAAACAATCATGGAAGTGGAAAACCACTGGGTTGCCAGAGGAAAAACCGTCTTCTTTTCTTTCGGCCATGGCAACCACGTAAACCATGTTTGTTGGAGGGAGGGTGTATTCCTTTTCAGACAGGGCAAACCGTCTCCGATCGATTCCTTTCACCGTCCGATTGCCTCCAAACCCCGAACCCGTTCACGTCCAGAGTCCTCGGTCCGGCCGCTCGGTGTCCGGCTGGTCCCGGGCTGGTGGCGAGGTTTCTCCCAAGCAAATTCGGAGATGAGCATCTCTTCTTCCGCCATGACTGGTTTGAGGAGGATCTGAAACTCATGCCGGACTGGAAGGATTGGGTGGATGCTGAGGAGCGACTTGGTGGAGCTGAGTCCACGATTTTTCAAGCGGTTGAGCTGGTTTTGTTTTCTATGTCTTGTTTAAATTGAACAACTGGTTGTTCAGCAATGACGCTTTTTAGACATCGGTTGTTGGAATCCCGGGCTTACACTCTCTACGGAATGGTGGGGCAAGGGAGTAAATTGAACTGTTTTCAAGTGGGGGGGAGTTCCATTGCTTTTTGTTCTGAACAAGCCGAATGAGTTTCTCCGAACGGGACACATGGTACAAAGATGTTGGATGATTCCGTTGAAAAACCACGGATTCTCTCCCACCAAGTTTGAGATCGTTTCTCTCTCGCCTCACACGCACCTTCGCCTCGGACCGCCAAGCCCTCCAAATGAGGTTGACGGATCACCGAGTCACCTTTACAGGAATCACCTTGAATCAAAGAAGGCATAGACACCATATACCAGCCTCCCAAAGGCCCTATTGGCGATTGATTGGATGGAAAGCGGTCCAGCCCAGACTCAGAGGGGTCTATACCCAGCACCCGACTCGAAACAGGTCTCCAAAATGGAGACTTCAAAGAGGCAGGTGGTGACCTGTGGTTGGATGCTGGTGCCCCCCTTCCAGAGGACCACATGGACCACTGGGTCTTCCGAAACTGGGACCAGCCACTTGTTGGGTGGTGCTGGTCGTGTTTTCCTTTGCCAGCTCGGTGAGTCCCAGCGTGCCTGGCGACCTCCTCAGGTTCTGGTATGAGGAAGGGGCCAACAACTTCTACAGCAGCATTGATCCCTCGCACCAGAAGGAGATTGGATCTCAAAACGCCTGGATTGGTGGCTACAATCCTTCCTCAGGCAGCGGCGGGGTGGGTTTCTTCGCCGAAGACGGTCCAAAAGGGAGTGAGTGAGAGGTGAAGGTGGGCTGTTGCGGATGTTGAAGGCTTCAAGTGACCCATTCTTACCCTCTGAAAGATGGCTTGGAGGACTGGACGAACCTGCAGTCCATGCAGGACACCCCACCAGGTGGAAGGGTTCGGTGAACCGATCTTCCAGGCTAACCCATCATGTCTTTCAGGCGCAGACTCAGCCAGATGGTGAGCTGATCTCCGGACCTCCCGAGATCCCTCAGTGCCTCCCCCCTCGAACACCGTGGCAGAGTGCCTGGAATCCAATGGTTCCGGGCCAACGTGGATGGCCGGCCATGCTTCCGAAGACCAAACAGATGGTTTCCACGGTCCACCATGATGATTTCAGGGAGGGTACCATGAAGCACATATGATTTGTGCATGTGCTAGATCATTGATTCGAGTGGCTTTTCAGGGAACATCCTGGGAACATCAAGACATCAAGGTCCGACCTTGTTTGGGGTGGCAGGTCGTTTTCTCCAAAGCTCTTCCCGCTCCGAAGAGGCAATGAGCTGGTCAAGAATCTGAAGGCGCCGTCTGACTCGTCGCCACCGAAAGGGCGGGGAGAACCGCGAAGGTGGAGGCTGGAGTTTGGCCATGGCAACGCTTCGAGTTTGGCCATGTCCAGCTCTGATTGATCAATCATCAGGCCGTCCCCTAAGATGACCTCATCGCACTCAATAAGAACAGGTAAGATAGGGTGAACATGGGTTAACCCGTATTCTCCGTGGGAAACCGAGAGAGTCAGAAGTATAGTGGAAGCCCATCAACAAGCAGTGGAAGCCCATGAGCACCAGGGTCTTTCGCAGGGTCCTAACTCGCAGGGTCCGGCCCTCCTGTTCCCTCTCCATGCTCGTTTCCGTGCATTTTGTCCGTATCACTGTGTGGAAACCCGTCTGCCAGATCTGACCAGAACCCTTTGGACTGACCTTTTCGGGGGTCTGACAGTCTGGACCCTCCAGATCCCTTCCAAATCCCTTCCGGGTCGGGACTCTTCCAAACCAACGACCGTCAGGGCCGTCCGCCTGCGGCGCACGCGTGGGCGGGCGGCGGGCGACCGGGTGCGGGGCGGGGGAGTGCGAGTCGAGGCCTACTTGCCCTTCCTGCCCTGGTCCTGGATCTTCCCGGCTGATGAGAGCTCGCTTCTGCAAGAGACTCACCAGGTCGTGTCGGGATGTCCCTTTGCATACCTCCATCAAGGAGTGCCTGGGCGGAAGTCATGGGGCGATGGAAGCGGCTCGGGGAAGCGGCTCCGTTTGGGCTGTTCTGAAGTGCGAACGGACCCGTGTCGCAAGACCCGTGATGGGTCAACTGTGTGAAGGTGTCCAAGGTGTCACGGGTTTCCATTTCCGTGCCCGGGACGCCCAGTGGAACCCAAAAGCCGGGATCCAGGGCCTACGATCGGCGGCCTTTTTCGTTCCAAGTCCCACCGCACGGTTGACCGCTGGTGTGTTTGGCATGTCCGTGAGATGGCCATGTCATTCGCCATGCCCCGTGTATAAGTGGGGCATCAAGTCTGGGCATGTACCAATGCAGCAATCGACAGACCAGGCCGCCGTGTCAAACGGGCTCCTCTCACACTCTGTCGCACGCGACGACCTAATCCCAGCGCCCCCAGTCGGCGGCCATCCGTACGGAGAGTCCGCGGTAGGGGCAGGTGAGTGAGTGCGTGCGTGCACATCTTCGATGTTTGCCGGGAGTATGTTTCGCAATCCTAGAGACCGGACATGACCATCTGTTTTGATATGAAAAACACATATTTTTTGGGCTCCCAGTTCCAGGGGTCAATCAGGTTCTAGGATGAGATACCAACGAACGCATAGAGTTGGACAAAGAAATCACTCCTTTCCACTGAGTATTGTGCTCCGAAGGTGAACCATGTGCCGAGCATTGCTGAGCAACCTCCCTGAAAATACAATGGATCCTTTTTGCTTCGCGGAACCTGTTGCAGGGTTCAAAGGAAGCACCCTTGGAACATACACTCAGAGTCGAACCTTTCTCTCATGCCCAGGTCCCTGTTACAACTGATCAGCAAAGCACATCTCTAGTGTATTAGTATATATAATATACCTAGAATTTGAGTGGAGCACCGACCACCCAAAATAGGGTCTTTTCCTATCAAAACAGAGGTCAAATGGGTTCTAGGTATGTGTATATATATCTGCTGACAACAAAGCAATCGAAGTTTGCCTTCAGATCTCCAATCATGAACATACCATTTCGGGACGCGCTCCTCCTTGCTGCACCACGGGGTCGGCGGATATATAGACCTTTTAGTTGCCGGGGGGGGCTCGAATCAACCGCTCCAAGGACAACCGTCTGGTCCACGCCCTTCTCAAGTGAGGAGACACGGGGCGGAGCGCCACCCGCCACCCGTGCGCTCCGTCCCCATGTCCCGCTGGTCCACACGTATCGAGTCAGGAGCGTCCTTTTGCGCGCCGCTGGCCAAAACGCGGAAGGGCGCATCCAACCTGCTTTCTTTGTGTTGTGAACTGTATGAATCCCGTATGGACCAAATGCATTTCACTCTGCCATCAGAATCCGGGCGCTTCTGGTAATGGAGACGTTCCAGCACTGCTTGTTATGATTTTATGTTGATGTTCAATGTTTCATTCTCTTCATTCCCCCCTTTGTTGTGTTTTATCACGTGGGGGTTCTGGGGAGGATTTAATGTTAAAGTGATGTGAGTGTGTATTCCAATACGGAGACCCAAAGACCCTTTGGAAGAAGTCACATGGAAAAATCCCTTGGATTTGTTGTTGTGCTTGTCTGAACATGATGACGCCTCGCGAGTGAACCGGGCTGATGCCTGGCTCCCTGTGGTTTTTCGGTTGAAGCCAGACAGGTCTGCGAGGCGTTGGACGGATTGCGCAAGGGCGGTCGTTTCTGGGCAAATCTGTTTTAGGAGCACACTGACAGCACACTATTGCCGTCAGTGCTTCTTGTACTAGTAGACTCTTGATTCACAAACCCTCCCATTGGAATTGAAAAGCCTCTTCTCACTTTTGGCTTCTCAATCAAGAGTCGACATTATGTTGGAGCGTGGGTATTTCAAACTAAATGTGATATTGATTTGAGGAAGCAGCGCACTACAGATGCTTTCTTTTCTTTCGTGTGCGCACATGGTCGCACATGTCTCCGCAGCCTCAGTGCCCAACTTCGCCGTGGCCACGGCCTCCGGGTGTTTGCCAAAACCGATTTGTCTGCCATGGCTCCGTTTGTCCTCTGGCAGCTTTCGTGCTCGAGGGGACGAAAGGATGGAAGTGGTATGCATATCGTAGTCCCCAAATGGAGAGCGGCAGGGTGTCCAATTTCAATATATATTTTTAGTAATCGGCAGGATTGGAATGTAGATCCAGGATGGATTTACTCTCCTATCTATATACAGTATAAGTTGCAAGAAGGATGGAAGTGGTGCATGACATTCCCCCCGAACAGACCATGGAGTCCCGTGCTCGCTACTGTAAAAGGAAACCAAGTCTTCCCCAAGCCACGTGTGGCACTACGTGGAAGGCGGCGGTTTTGGATCTTTGTGGATCTTGGTGGAAGGCACACTGTGACACTGTGGGCCCCAAGCGGTCCCCCCAGTAGTATCACCCAGAACGGTGCCGCACAGCACAGTAATTACCCAAGAACCTTGTTGGACATGTTTTGCTGGTGTGGAGAACGCATTGCACATGTAATTCTGTGTTTGACTGCTAGCCCGTGAGTAAACACCCTAGGCGTCTTAGCAGAATCACCGTCATTCTTCTGCAATCATTCCTGCTGGTGTTGAGCGCCTTACAATCTCAGGTAGAGGTTCCATTTTTTGTCAACCATTGTTATTAGGTGGCTTTGCTGTCTTCGCTGCTGGTGACGGTGCTCGCCATGCGCTCGACCCAGCAGAAAGAGAGTCTGGGAGAAGTGGCTTCTGCTCGCACGAAGTCTGCCAAGGAGCCGAGCTTCTGCTCGCCGAGAAAGCCCTGGAGGTCCAAGACCATTCTTAAAGTCCTTTAAACGGAAAGGTTGTGTAGCAAAATCCTGTGCAGTTGGTTTGGTTTTGTTGGTGTATATTCCTTGGTGCAACAATGGTTGTTCGGCGAGGTTCGAGCTATAAACCGTTGAAAACATACCCGACAGATCCCAAGAAAGGTCGAGTCTTTACCACGTTGCTTGGTTGGGCTTTGTTAAACCTACTTGCTTACTTTGTTTTCCTGTGACCTCTGTTTGGGGGAGTAGTTTCTTTCCTTTACAGAATGGGATTGGGTATGTAGGTTGAGCAAAGACTTGGGTTGGTCTCGAAACTAGGAGGCCTTGCTCTAGTAGCACGGTCTTTCTCTTGTTTCATCAACTTTTCAGTTTGAGACGACTCACCCAGGTTGGTTCCAAATTCCGCCCAGAGCCATGTCACACCAGGGCTTCCTCTTTCGGGTTCGAGACTCACATGAGTCGGGCGAGTTTGGTGGTGCTGACGATACGTGGGAGGCTGAACTCAGACCCCCATCTATCATCACAAACCACCAAAGAAGGTCAGATTTTTATACTGGAACTATCCAAAGAAAGTGTGTGGCAAAGCTTGTTTTGGGTTCAGATTTTTTCTTTTTTCTCTCTCTCTCTCTCTCTCTATTGTTCCTTCTGATATCAATTTTCGAGTGGTCCATGATGGACTCCTTAAAGGAATACTGTAGTTCCTGACCTTTGATCACCCTTTCGCCTCTTTTCCATCTTCACCGCTCCCGTTCCGAACGACAGGAGCAGCTGGCGGAGATTTGGAGTGACTTGGATCGGCGATCGGACTGGACCAATATCGTTTTTTTGCCGGCAGATCTTGGAGGTGGTGAAGTTGATTTAAGTGAATTTCTTGCCAAACCTGAGGGGGAATCGTTGGGGGAATCGTTTCCAACATGTTTTTACACATGTTTGTCCGGTTCCTTCCTTCCGTCTTCCTCCAACAAGACGGTGCAGCTGTTCTTCTGCGCGAGGCAGTTGGGTTGGACACCTCGTTGAAACCGATCAGCTGAGTTGCCATGAGCGTTGCCATGCGGCCTCACAGTTTGGGGTGCGGCCTCTGAAAACAACTCATCCTGGGTCTTTCCTTCCTTACCCGATCCTCACCTGGAATTCGGGCAGAGAAAAACGAAACACGAAAGAGTGAGGAATATAGTTTTCTGCTTTGACCGCCATGTCTTTAATGCCAGTCATGTCCTTCCTCGCAGGGTTATTCTTCCGCGGCCCGGGTTCTGATCCTCGTGGTGGGACTCTCCGCGCGGACCAGGCGAGGTGGAGGCCGACGAGGGCGAAGCCGCTCCGATGCCTTCGGCGCTGGGGCCGCTGCGCTTGATGTCCGCCGCCGAGGACGGAGGGGCGACAGCCGCTGGTCGGACCGGGCGTGCGGCGCGGGCTTGTTCGCTCTGGTGGCAGACGTGCCGCGGCACGCAGCACCTGAGTCAAAAAGGTCGGTCGCCACCTGCCACGTTTGAGCCATTTTGAGTCTAAAGCCTCTAGAAGAGACCTAGAGAGTCGGGTGCTGCTTTTGGGTCTCAGTTCAGGTTTCTCAACTTCTCTTGGTTCTTCGCCAAGATAGCGCCTTTGTCATGGTTTGGGCTGAGACCCCCCTAAAGCCGCCGTGGGGTGGTGGCTTTCGGACACGGCAGCGTTTCCTGGTGTGCGGGTTGGTTTCGGGCGGGTTGGTTTCGCGGTGCTTTGCGGGGCTTTGGAAGGAGCTTCATGGCACAAACCAAATTTTTCATTGCCAGGGTTTGGGGGGATTTTTGGGGTGTTGTACCAATAGCCCCAAATGAATTCGGGGTGTCCATCAACCACCCCGGCCGTGGTAATGATATCATTTAGTGTAATTGGTGGCTTAATTTGGTTGTGTGACATGTGTGACATGGATTTGGACCCAGGGGCCTCTGCACGACTTAGGAGATTTAGGTAATCCTTTTCAATTTTATGATATTTGCATAGTATATTTACCCTTTTCCATTTTATGACATTATGGACAAATTCTCGAGTCATCCCATGATTGGAACTGGGCATTTGTTCCAATCTTTGGCCTCTTCCGTCCCGGCACCACCCCTTCTGTCACCCGTCCCGTCCACCCACGTCCAGACGCCACGCCGGCCACGCCTCCACGTCCCGCGGCCGCGGTCGTGTTCGTCCGTTTGTCGCGAGGACCTGCCGCTGATTGGACGGGTGATTCGCTGGGCCAACGTGACGGAGGACTTGAGGAGCACCTTCTCGTGGCGCAAAGATCAGCCGTTGCCCCCCGGTCACCAGAAGCTGATCCACCCGGCCGCCTGGCGCAGAGAAGCGGTGAGACCCGGTCGTGTGTGGTGCGGGGTTCGGGAAGCGTCTCCCTTGTTGGAAGCTCTTGTTTGATGAAGGAATCGATATATAGCAATTATTTATACAAGTTTAATCGGTTTTTGTTTTAAAGAAACCATGCATTTGAATGCATGGACAAATGCATGGTGGTTCGAATCCTATAGGGCCTTTACGGCATTTAACAAAAAAACCAACCAATCCAGGACCTTCAAAGTGGCGGTCTTGAGAGGATCCACAGAGGTCACCTTTGGAAGGTGGAACCCGCTCGTCTCCACCAAGGGCGAGCGGCGTCTCGGTCTCGGTCTCGGTTCGTCTCTTCCCTGCGCTTTGGCCGAAGACTTCGGCTTCAACAGGTGGGTTCGGTGGCGAAGATCCATTTGGAGTGGGACCACGCGATGATGAGCAGCCTCGGCTTCACAGGCGCCCACCCCGCATGATCTGAAGAGCCGGTTTTCCACGAGAGAGAGGGACGGGTGGGTGTTTTGGACAGGGGAGGAACAGGGTTTCCTTGGCGGTGTTTTTGGTGTTTTGTGAGTGTTTCGGTCTTTGGTTCGGTTGGTGGGTCTTCATTTCTTTATTTTGTTTATTGGTGGTCAGCTGAGCTAACGGCGATTGGTTTGGGTCTTCGAGCCTTTCGGAAGGGCACGGTGTGGGTGCAAGCAGCTGAGAATTGGGACCGGGCGGCCTCGCGCAGTTGCACCCCGTCACGACCTGTCTGGGACTGGAAGATATGCCCCAGATAGAGTCCTTTTCCAACAGCCCCCTGGCCTGGGAGTGTCTGGGACACGCCCCGTAGTTCTGCTTCAACCTGCAGGGCCTGAGGGCCCCGGTCGCCCCCGGCGTTCTGCGAAGACCCCGGGCGTTCTGTGGGCCAGGGGTCTTCGCGAAGGACCAGGAGCAAGCCTTGATCCGCCACCTGGCAGGATGTCGACACTGCAGACCACCAAAACGGTGGGTGGGTGAGTGGGTGGGTGACTCTCCTGGCGGATTCTCATGGACCTATGTGGGTGGTAGATGAGAACAGTCCTACCCTATGGGGTTCAACATGGTTAAACATGGTTCAACTGTCTGCCAAGGGGATCCAAGGGGGAGTGAACGGCATACCTGGATCTTGCAACTATTGCTGCCTTTTTGCTGCCTTTTTTGGGCTGTTCAGCCAGTGGATGAACAGGCGCAATAACATGAGTTGGAAGAGAAGGGTTCAGGTATGGACGTCGAGGAACAGGCGCCTTTGTACCGTGAGAGGTGGCTCATATTCCCGAAAACCTCAAGGGCTCTTGACGAGGCTATTTACAGACACCTCAAGGAGGCTAAGGTGCTGGCAGATGGAGTCAACAGAGGTTGAAGAACCCTATAGTACCCTATAGGCTATCCCACAGGTACCCCAGTAAGGTCCCTATTTACGATCACTTACATCCTGGAAGACGATCCCATGGAGCCTGAAAACCACTGGTTGGTAGAGGAAAACCATCTTCCAGGGCGCCAGGACGTCAGGGTCGAGCTGTGAGTTGACTCGGGAGTGTAACCTCTCTTGGAGCGTTTTGGGGTTAAGACTCCTGGGTTTCCCCCTCCTCTCCGGCTTGCCTCAGGCATTGGCCCTGCGGGTGCCTTGAAGAAGACGGGCATGGCGCCTGGAGTTTCGGTGAAGGTCTTCCGCGACTTCAAGGAAAGTGTCTTGGTCTATGCTGGTGCTGGACGGAAAGTGTCTGAAAACGGCGGAGAGGGTTCTGGCTGAGGAGGTGACCCGGAGCTGGCTCCTGTTGAAGAAAGTTGCGGTGTCTTTCTTTTTCCCGCCTCAGGGCTCTCCGGATGGCCTGCCATCCAACATCGAAGAACATCACATGAGCCACACGAGCCACGGCGGTCGAACGAACCACAAGGACCGCTTCGCGGACGGAGGACGGAGGACTGGGGGGCACCACGGGGTACGACAGGTCGTTCCCATGTTGACAGGTCGGAAGGGACGACTCGGACATGGCCCTGCAGGGTGCCTTCCATCCGACTGCAGGTCACCACCTGTGGCAGGTGTACAAGTCGTCTCCATTTCAGCCACCAGTTCGGAGACCTGTAGATTCGGGTGCTGGTAGACATTGAGCCCGCGCGACTGCACAGCTTCAAGGATCTTCACCATATCGTCAGGTCGCACACGCCAGATGAAGAGACGTGCTCTAGTCGGTAACGCCTCTCCATCCTCCTTGCGAACGCCCCCCGAACCCATCCCAAGCCCCTCATCATCACATATGCGAAACGGAGGTGTGAACACGCTGATGCTCTACTCCTTGCGAGGCGGGTGCAGGGGACCCGTGGGGGTGATGGGAAGAGACCGCCCCAAGCGGAGTACAGGTACCTGGACCCGACCTTCGGGGTGCCCTGTCTGGAAGCCTAGTGCGGTAGTGTGGAGTAGTCCAGCCAGGACACCCCGAAGGTCGGAGGGTCCAGGTAGACTCTGGATTGATCAACCCCCCCTCCCCAAGCTCTTCATACCAGCACTCTGAAATGGCCGAAATGGAGACGAGCAGTGGCGGAAGCTCGGAGAGACGGACCGACAGACCCTGCGACCAAAGGATCCTGGTCTCCGCACCCGACTCCTCTGGTTGTCTCATTGGTTGCTGGGCCTTAGCAGGTCTTGACGGTGTTGGTTCGCCAGGTCAGGATGGCTTCAGCCACTTTGAGCCTTGCTTGCGCCAGACGTGTTGAGGTGGGAGGAGAGGTTGAAGAACCCGAGAGCTTGCCTATAGATAGACTATCCCAGTTCGGTACCCAACGAGGTGCCTATTTGCGATCACTCAAAACCTCTCTTGGTGGACTTCGTCCAAAAGCACGAACTGGTTCCGGTGAGTTCGACTTGAACAGCCACAGATTTACTGGGAACCGTGGATGGCGCATGCTTTGGGTCTTCGGAACATGGGGCGTCCAAGGAGCCGGACTGTCCACTTGCTGCTTCAAGGAGTCGACGATCAGTTGAGCTGTTGGGCCTTCTGGATTCTAGCTACTGTATATACAGTAGCCTTCCAAGAGCATTTCAACCATGGTTGGCCTGGTTTCCGGGGTTTGTAGTCCAAACATTCTTAGTAAAGCAATGGCTGTTCAGTAAGAACCATCAAATCAATGGCTGAAGCCTAGAGTCTAGTTTGTTGGGGTCACTTCGTGTTTCCCTGGCTGGCTCATCAATGGATTCTCGACAGCCACATGGGCTTGGGTTCCCAGGCTGCATGACCCTATTGCCATCTAGTCTAGTCCATGGAGGCCAGATAGCGCGCATACCACCAGAATTGAGCGGCCCCGAAGACCAGTTCAGGCCTTGCTTAGCCTCCTCCATCCAAGCCAAGGAACACACTCTTTGCAACAAGCTCTCGGACTTCAGGGACAAGAGCTTTGCAGAGAACTTGCTGCTGAAATCCTTCAAGAAGCCTGGGTTAGCATTGATCTTTTTCAAAAATTTACCCAATACGTGTGGAATCATTGGACAACAGACCTGAAAGAACTCACCAAAGGACGTAGATACCACCGCTGAAACGAGTTTCGGGAAGAACTGACATGGCTGAAATCCCCCAAGAACCCCTCCGATGCCCAACAAGCAGGAGGGCCGATGGCCTCTTCAAAGCCCCTCGGATGAATCGGCGCCAATGTGCGCTCCGCTCCGCGCTGTAAGGAAGGCCTCCGCGTACCCCTTCACCACGGGCTTGAGCCAGTGGGCGGAGCAAGATCATACCTCGCCCAAGTTTCCCTTCGTGATTTGCTTCAGGCGCGGGTTGTGGAAGTGAACGGCTGATCAATCATTTTCCCTATGGATCCACTTACCTTCTCAGAAGGTAATTGGATAGTTTTTGGGTGATGACACGGTGCCGACTCGCATGACGCCAATCTCAGCAGGGCTCCCTCACAAATTCCTTCCAAACCAGGACCCGCACTCTGAGGGTGGTGACTGGACACCTCTTAATGCTACTGCATTTGACGCTCCAAACAGGGGGGGCACTAGATCGACGTACCGAGTGGCACCAGATCAAGGAGATTTCTCCTTTTCCGATCCCCGGCGCCAGATCACGTGCGTGGACACGAATCCAGCACCTCAGACATAGGAACTTCCAAAAATAGTTGCTTTACATTCAGAGGTTCGATGGCACTGCTTCTCCCAGAGGTATAAAGCACAGAACTTGGAGGCCCTGTACGTGCCATTGAGCCTCTCAATCCATCGCTCTTTCTTTGGGTTTTCGGTCGAACCAGACGCTCACCTCGAGCTGCTTTGGCGCGCGTCTCAGCACGCCGCCTGCAAAACGCGTCCAAGCACTCTCCTCGTGGAAGCGTCCAAGCGTCCATCAAGTCCCACCGCACAGCAGGCCCATGGACCATGTGAGAGCCTATTTCGAGCGCTTTAAGGATGAGCCCTTTGAGCACATCCAGGAGGGCCCGAGCACGTGGTGGAACTGTGGTGCTCTCCCGGCCACCCAAACTTGGGGTCATCCCTCTTCTTTGATGCCCCGCTTTGTAGAGAAAAAAGGGTCTTCCTTCCGGGGCCAATGCCATCCACGTAACCACCATGTGAGGTTCCGGGCAGAGCAGTGGGTTTTTCCGAGCTGGATGAGGGTCCGGAGATGTCCTGGAGATGACGAATCCAGGCTCGCCATCCCCAAGACGGGTGGAGAGAAACCATCGTGGAAACCATGGACACCATTTGATTTCACCAGGGAAGAGACCGAACCTGATGGCATGAACCGTTCAACATGGGTCAGGTTCCAATGTGAATCTTCCGCGTTTTGGGTGTCCCAGATTGAACTCTTCGCATGTTTTTGCACCCTTCTTGGCCAGGACGGTTGTTTCAAACTATCCTTTGTCCCTCCCACCCCTCATCCCCCCACCACATCTCTCCCATTCCCCCAGTCCTGGGCCACTTCAGCATCTTCAGCTACTCCAAGTTCCCAGTGCCCTCCCCCACGCGTCACGCTCACAGTGCCCTCGCTTCCTCCTCTCGCTTCCTCGATCTTTCTGACCTCCGCGACGCGGACGCCACGGCACGTCGCACCGCGCGCGATCTCCGCGCACCGCCCAGGAGCAGTTGCAGCACCTCTCCGCGGGGAAGAAGATCTACGAGATCTACGTGGGCGCCGGTCCCCGCACGCAGCTGAAGCCCGTGGGCCACGTGAGCCTCGTGTCGGAGCTGCGGGGGGGGGGGCGGGGTTTTGGGGAGGACGGCTCTTTGGGGGTTGTGGAGCCTGAAACAGGGCCACCCAACGGGCTGGACATCTCCCGGGCTCCCACCCAGGACTCCCGAGTTCCGTAAAATTGGGGCTTTCAATCGGATGTCTTTGTAGTGCCCAGGTTTCTCCACTACAAGAGCTCCTTTGGAACTCCTGGGTGGATATCGGATCTTGGAAGTAAGGCCAGCAGAACTCCGGGTGAAAACAGATCTTCAGAGATCTTCCCAAAGAGTGTATTGGTGAGTCGGATTTTGATGAGCCAATTGGACGAGTCAGCAGTTCCACTTTTGTGCCCATATCAGTAGGTTTTTGGAGCTCGCTGATATCGTAGTCATTTTAACATAGCAAAACACATCGGACTGGGCCTTTCCTCGGCCCAGTCTGACATGCCCGACCCAGACCCCGCGGTCCTCCAAGCTGTTGCGGGGTTTCACCGCCGAACGAAGCAAGTCCAGGAGTTCCACAAGACCAAGTTCGGCGATCAGCCACTGTGCTTGAAGGCAACTATATAGTTTTTACGGTGGATGGTGAGTTTGGATAGTGAGGTAGGATGGTTTAGATTTTGGATGAATTAAGATGTCAATTTGCATAAGTCCCCGTGCTTTATTCGTGACCCTGTGCTTAAGAAACGGGTGGTTTTGGAGGCTTCTTTTTTGTACCGGAATTGCACAATGCCACAATGCCAGCCAGTGACCCTTTGAGGCAGTTGTGCTCTTGATCACGAAAGTCCCAAATCACAGGGTGGAAACCCTGTGATTAAGTTCTTTTAAAGGTCAAATTCAACCATGAATGGGTGAATCCTTGCAACAACCATCGAAATTGAGATGTAAGTTACAATTCTGCAAACTTCAAACGTCGCGGATATTCTGACTGCCCCTGCCCAGAATCCGCTTTTAAGTAACGCTGAAAATACACATGCTCACAGCGCTGGTTTCTGTTAAGGAATCAAACCTGCGATTGAGGAATCAACCAAGCGTTTAAGCAAATAGAGTCGGGCTCACTCAAATTCACAATCGCTACCCAGACTGGCCTTCAGCAACAGAAGGGGTAGTAGGACCCCGGTCCCTCATATCATGTTCATGATGTGCAGAACGACCTTCCCTTTGCAAATCATGAATTATACTTAAGAAAACATCAGCCGTTCCGTGGTTCCAGGCCCCGCTTGTGCCTTCGGGTAGTTGAGCAAGAAAAAACACGTTGCCCCATTTGGTGTGAAAGGCTGGAAATTGTTTATTTTTTTATCACTCTACGTCTCCTCGAAGTTGCCTGTTTGAAAAACGATACATCACAGGCCCCTTTCTTAAATACAGACTTCAGCCCTTAGTTATGCAAACTACCAGATTAAGACTTATAAAATGATACATCCACAGTGTCTCCAATCACCTCCTCAGGTACGGTACTTGGGGATTAGGATGGTTGAATACTATTGTTCAGTTTTTTCGAGAGCCTGTGGACATATCTGCCTCGGAAGTGGAGCAGGCTTGAGGTCTGGAAGGGGAAGTCAGTTGGGCAAACGATGCCTTTTGCAACTCCTGAGTCTGTGAAGGGTGCTTCAAATCCATCCAAATCAACGTGTCATGTTCAGTAGACCGTGCTGCTCAAGGGCTTGGAACCCAGCCACCATCAACGCCTGCCGACCAAAGCACCTATGCCGACCTTAAGACGTTGGCCTCTCATCTTAGGATCTTTTCATGGCCTACAACAACCAAATGACATATAATTGGAAGGATCTATCATCTAAGGATTCCCTTAGGACCGTATAAATGCTTCTTATATCCTATATATGCCTATAAATCAATGACGCCCTCATTACAACTGGCCTGTCATCACCAACGCCTTCCGCCATCGACCTGCCAGTCTTTCCATCCGCACACCGACTTGACGACCGATCGCCCCACATGACGACCGATCGCCGCGTCACCCGGCCGGGGTGAGGAAGCTCTTCTTCCGCCACGACTGGTTCGAAGAGGATTTGGAGTGGATGCCTGCGTGGAAGGACTGGGTGGATGCTGAAGAGTGACTCGGCGGACTGGAGGAGAGCGGTGGATCGGGGCCTTTTGAGGACCCTCACGTCACCGGGACCCTAGGCTTCGACCGGTGAGGGGTCCGTCCCAACAACCCTCCACGAACGACTCGTTCGAGAGTGGGAAGTGAACCTATTAAACGATCCTAACATGTCCTAACTGGGTGGATGCTGGGGAAAGAACCGACCATCTCTTGGGGCATTCGGGGGTCACTTGGGCATTCGTGGCGTGGGCGAGCTCGTGGGCCCAACGCAGTAGAAGCGGCAGCTCGTGGCCTTTCTCAGGTTCTGGTATGAGGAAGGGGCCAACAACTTCTACAGCAGCATCGATCCTTCCGAGCAGAAGGAGGTTGGAAACCAAAACGCCTGGGTCGGTGGCTACAACCCCTCTTCAGGCGGGGGTGGGATGGGTGCTGTGCCGCTGATGCCTGGCTGCCCAAACAGAACAGAGTTTGGAAGGGAAGAGTGAAAAAAAACGCATTTGGATCCCATGCAGGAGAGTGGGACTTTGACAAGTTTAAATAATACTATATATAAGTTATATATAAGACCAGGAACATTCGTCACACGTCAGCAGCTTTAGAGCGTCACTGGGCGTCTACGATACAGCCGAAGGCGGTGACGGTTCGCTTGGAAAACGCGCTCGGTTTGATCCCAGACTCTCCATGGGACTGGCGTACTTGAACGGCCAGGGTGGTTGCAGAGGTCATATAAAACATACAATAAATAAACGACTTGTCTAAGTATACTCCATATACGGAGTGTTTTATTGCGTCTCACTGGTTTCGTTGCCCCTTTTCATGCATTCCCAGCGCTGAAGTGCGGCGCTTGAGGCATGCTCCAAAGGGCACTCCCTGAGATGGGCCCCGGCTTGGCATCACCGTTTAATTCCCATTCATAATCCTCATCGACTGCAATGGTGAGGCAGTGAGATCGTGGAGAACTTGAAGACCTACTTGCCCTTCTTGCCCTGGTCCTGGGTCTCCTGGATGCAGCGCACCGAAGCCGCTGGCAGCAGCGCCAGCACCGGCGCCGGGCTCCATGAGACGAGCGGCCAGGCGAGCGCTCAGCGCCATGTGGAAGCCTCCGGCTGTCCCTTCGCATATTTGCACCAAGGAGATGCTTGGTGGCACCGAGGGTGGAGGCCGTTTTGGAGGGGAACTGCTGAGGGATTAAGAACCCTTGGGGGGACTGAGGGGGGTTTGCTGGAGGCCCGAGGCGACTTCTGAGGGACCTTTTGGGGCTTAAGGAAGTCTCACAAGACTTGGAGGTGACGGGTGTGATGGACTTAGATGAGTCGACGAGTTTGGAGGTGGAACATGGTGGAACACTTGGCAGTTGACCGAACTTCTTCTTCTTTTTCGGTGCCATCCAGGCTACGCATGGCCCTTCCATACCACACTCCAAATAAGTGCGAGAGAGAGAGAGAGAGACACCGGTTGCAGGCCTTTAGAGGAGCATGCTCCCAGAGAAGCGCAAGAGATTTTTCGAGATTCTCTGGGATATTGCTTGACGACAACAAAACCTCCACAGGTCCAAAGACTCAGCAAAACAAAATCCTTCACCTCATTGAGTTTTTTGAGTGTCAAGTCTGAGATTTATAACTCCAATATAAACAGATCTTTGACCTTCAGAACCGGGTGCACAAACTTCATCCTAATATATCCCAACAACTCCTTGCGAGAGGTCCCCCTACCCAAGACGCAGTGGGTGGTCCAGCGGCACGGCCCAGGACAGCAGCTTCATTCACGCCCTCCTCAAGTGACACCAGCAGAGGAGGGGCTGAACAGGCTCCTTTTGGGACCTTCAGGAGTATTCAGGGAGCAACGGCTCACCTGCTGCGCTCCAAACAGGCGGACGCAAGGAGAAGCGGCTCGTGCGGGTGGGATGCTTGAACGGGTTTGACCTCCTCCCCCGAGGGATTCTGGTCCCAAACAAGGGGCTCCCCGGATCCCGAGCAGGGATCGACGATGGGCGTGTGTTACTGCTCTTCCCGGAAGGCTGAAGCGAGAAGTCCTGGCATGTTGGGGCATGGAACACCACCGAAACATGGGGGTGAGAAGTGAGAAGTGACATGTGCTTCTGGTGTGCAAATCGGTCACCGCCCAAGTCATTTTGGCTTACATCCCCTCAGTGCAGAAGCTGGAGCTCGTCCTTGGCCTGCCAACAAGAGGTTCACAGGTTGAGCGGATTTCGTAGTCCCAAATCCTTGGTACAACAAGTAAAGACTATTTGTAGTGTAGTCGGGTTGAGGAAGTAGATGACACAACCTCCCCCCAAGTTCGGGTGGGACCCCATTGGTCTAGGACCTCCCTTGGGGTGCCGTGCGATCAAACCGCCTCCGTCGTGTTTCGACTGCACCGCAGGCGCATGCACTCGCAGCGAATAGGACGAGCGGACCGGTCGGAAAAAGAAGAATGGCGGGGCCTCGGGCAGAGGGGCGGAGCTGCAATCTACCCGGGAACAGGGTTCCAACCAGGCTGGCCTGAAAAGTAGGCCCCAAAGCTTCAACACCTGGGGTTGGTTGTCAGAGGGGTGGTCGAGGGGAGGGGGGGTCGGGCCGTTGGAGGAGTATGAGGGGGGGTGCATGGGTGCATGAGGGTGCTTACAGTGTCCCGTTAGGGATCCGTTTTCGTAGCTTCTCAGGTACGGTACGACTGGACCCTCCTAGCACCTACGTAACCGATCATAACAGTGTCTCCGATCACCTGAGAAGGTACTTGGATCCCTGGGTGTATTAATAGTCTACCCAGCGCGACCCAGTTCGGGTGGTTCTTGGACGGAAATCACATTGTCAGGGTCTATCACCCCAGCTGGAACATGTCCAATGGAGGTTGAAGAACTGAACCCTACATAGACTATCCCATAGGTACCTCAGGTGACCGATCCTATAAAATCACTTAAACCATCTTAAACCTCTCTTGGGGTGTTAGGCAGGTTCTGGTTCTTGCTGGCTTGGGCCGCCCAGTATTGGACCTCTGGATGAACACCCTCTCTCGATCATGCGGGGACGCACGAGCCGGGGACGAACTTCGTTTGGTTCTTACCACCGAGTTTCGGTGGTGAGGCCGTCGGTGTGCGCAGTCTTGGCTGGTTCATGTGCAGAGGATGGAGCGAGTTGGTGAGCTTCGAAGAGCATGCCATGGTGTTCGATGCACCTACCGACCATCAATCTGAACGGCTCCAAGACCAAAAGATGATCGTATACCTGGACACCCGGACCAGGGGTGTCTATTGATAGCGATTCGGGGTGTCTATTAACCACCCAAGCCTTGTGGGGTCCAGGTGTATAGGTCGTTTGACCCAGCGGTTCCATCGAGTCGGGCGCCCTAGGAAGTCCAAAGACTACTATTCCCAAACACTCCATGTATGCCATATATGCCTACATTGGGGTGGTTTTGAGGGGTCAATGTAGGCATATATGACATACATGGAGTGTCTGGGATTGGCACCACCCATCAGCGGAAATCCCTGATCGGATCACTTGCAGACCGTTTACCAACAATCGTCTTAGACGGCTTATTGGCTGGGCTTATTGGAGGGTTTCCGGGGCGCGAAAAGAACGTTGGGATGGAAAAGGTCCATCCACCATTTCTCACTGTAACGACCTGCAACATCGTCCGTCATCTCTCACGACCTCTCCCCGCACGGCCTCTCCACGCACGGCCTCTTCCCGCGACGCGGCCGTGTCCCGCGGCTTTGGCCCAAAGACCGCGACGCTTTGTCTCGAACGCTGCTGCGCGCTGCGTGCCGCGGCTCGGGCAGCCAGACGATACGGTGGACCCGACGGAAGCGGTGAAGATGTTGAATGCCCCGCCGATGCCATGCCTTTGTTCCTTCCCATCACCCAAACTGGGTGGTGCTGCTACCATGGACCCCCTATAAACTGTTTTCCATCTTTTTTCCCATGACACCTGGTGGACCTGGCGGACCTGGTGGTGTGGAAAGATATCCATGGTGGGACAATCGGGATCACGAAATCCATGGTGGGCCAGGAATCGAAATCCCCAAAAAGAACACCTTTCCCCCAAAAGTCCAAAGACTAGTTGGACCTCCAAGGGGTGTCCAATGGAGGTCCCTTAGTGGTGGTGTAGGGGCTTCCAGACAGGGCACCCCTTGGAAGGTCCTGGTATCAAAAGAATGGTCTGACTAGGGGGCCCCAGTTCAGGAACTTCCTTTACATCATGTCGGTTGGTCAGTCATACCGTCGAACTGGACGTCTCTATAGGTGGTTTCCGGGATCCGGAGTCCAACAATCCGTGAAGTCACCCGAAGGAGGGTTCCTCCAACCCGCGGTTCAGGGTCGATGTCCATTTTTGCAACCTCTTCAGCTTCGGCTTCGTGTTCTTCGACACGGACACGGCAGCGGGTTGATTTGCTTTCAGAGATTCGCAAGGTGTTTTTGTTTTCTCCTCCATGTGGTCAACGAAGAGTCCATGTCTATAGAGTCCATTTCGGATGCGCGTGAAGGACCTGCCACGCACAGAAGAACCGCATCGCGACAACGATGCCCGGGTCCGCCCCCCAAACTTCCTGAAAACTCCTGTGACAAATCCAAAGGTTCCTCCAGCATGTTGGACATTGTTGGACCTACTCGCACCACCTACAAGGGTGGTCTTAGCCTTGGAAAGAGGTGACTCGGATTGATTCGGGGTGTCCAAAACCTCCAACCTTGGAATTGGAAGGTCCTGGTGTACTACAGTAAATGTCCCCTTAGCCTCTTTTCGGGGCCCCCCTTATGGAGGGTGTTGGATCTAGGACAGGCCATGATTTCTTTTAAACTCCACAATGATCGACACCACAACTGGTTTTCTGGGTCAGCTTTGGGTGACGTGAACGGACGGACAGCCAAAAGGAATATATTATTGTTTTTTTGGACGGTTTTGGTTTGGGTACGGTGCGGGTTCAGGGTTCCTCATCTTCGTTCAGTGCGGTTTGGTTCAGCTGTACCAGCCCACCAGCCGCTCGGGGAATGCACGGTGTTAGGGAGGTTCCGTGGACCTCCAAGTGATTGCTGAACCCGTTGGCCGGCGGCTCAAGCCTGCGTCGCAGAAGAACCGGGACGAAGGGTGGGCGATAGGCGTCCAGCGGCGCGATGCAGGGGCAGGCGAGGTGGCCTGCCTGGGATGACGCTGAGCAGTTGCCCCACTGAAGACTAAGATGGGCCCTGAAAACCTATGGGTTGGATCGGGTTGGTACTGTATATAGTTAGTAGAGGGGCACTAACATAAAGCCTTCTGGGGGGCCATTATACTTGTAGCTGTTCTTCTTCAAATTCTAAGGTAAACTCCGGATTCGAGGCCAGTTGCCCAGCCACGTAGTCTCAGCCCAGCCATGTGGTCAACGAGTTTCCGGAGGACAGTGGATAGATGCACAATCATTCTGCTAGGGGCTTGGGGGTTTGAACAATCTATATACATTTAATTGAAGATTAGCAAAGTTCGCCAGCTGTGCACCCGGCCATAGTAGGCTCGCACCATGCTTGAGACTCCTTCAGACTCCTTCATATAAATGCCCGAATCAACAACCCATCAACCAACCACAAGTCCACAATGTCCTAAATTGCATCTACTTTCTGTCAGGGTTCTTCCTGGAAGCCGAGCAAAACAGGCCTCCAATAGAGGAGAAGGATCTTCCGGGGCCTAATGGTTAACTTCCATGTTTGAGGGAGGGTGGGTTCAACCAACCTTCTTTTTCTGCAATGTGAAACTTTCAACCACTAGTTGGAGCGATCTTGATGTTTGAATATGTTGAATGATTTTTTGACTCCCCCACGTTGGCTTGATGCTCCAACTTGCTAACACGGAAGTGGAAAATGCCCACTGGGAAGACCATGTTCCTTTACAAGTAGTTTTTTCGTTTTCCACTTGCAATGTTAGTAAGTTGGAGTGCAAATCCCAGCTCCTCTGCCAGCCACAGCTCCTTTGGCAATTCCATCTCTTATCGACTTTGAAGCCATCTCAACCACGCTATATACCCTGATGCGCTATGGTCGCGCGCGCCGCCCGGCGGATCCCAGGGACCACGGAGCCAAAAACCAAGGTGTTCGTATGTGCAAACCCTTTATTCTTCATGGTTTTTGTTGGTGAAACACAGGTCGCTGGTCACCCGGTGGTTGCCAACTCTCCACGTCGTTCCTCTCACTTTCTGCGACGGCTAAGGTCCTCCGGTGCGACGCTAGGGTTTGCTGCGAAAGTCGGCGGTGCAGCGTCGCATCACCCGCCGCCCACCGGGCAGGTGGTGATCATCAACTTTCCGGACACGGGACACATCAACCCCACCCTGCCGCTGGTCGCCGAGCTGGCGGAGCGACGCATCCAGGCCGGGTCGGCGGGACGGCGGAACGGCGGGACGGCGGCGGACGCCGGGGGTTCGACCTTCGGTTCGGGACTGGAAGTGGGAAGGGTGCAAATACTCTGAGGGAAGAAAAGGGGACTGAAAGGGCCTAGGGCCTAGGGTTTGTGAAGACTTCCCTCCTGGTCTTTTTCGGCCTCCACTCGGCCGCATCCAAAATGGATCTTTCGGAACTCCAGGCACATCGAGGACATTCGGAACTATACCTCTGACCGTCTTTAGCTGTAGAAACCCTTGCAACACCAGTTTTGCTGGGGGCCCTGCCTTTTTTTGCGCCCCAGTTCCCCCCTCCACTTTCTGACCGCCCCAAATCTGATCTCCAAAATCACCCAGTTCCACCCCGGCTGTTGGCCCATGCTTTGTTTGGGGCACCTCCGCAAGTCTATTTCTTTACGTAAGAGCATCAGCCACTTCACCCAACGTCTGCATCCCCCCCCCAAACCTTCTCCAACTTTGTCTCCTCTTCACCCAACTTCTCCATCCCGCAAACCTCCCACTTCGACCGTCACCGGAGGTGACCTACTTCCTCCCGGAGGCCTTCCGCGCCGTGGTCACGGCCGCCGGCGCGACCTGGCGCCCGCTGCGCGCGCCCATGGACCTCAGCCAGGCTCGCGGAGCGAGCCGCGCGAGCCGCGGAGGTCCGTGTGGCCTCTGGAAGTGTGGTTTTGGGGTGCACCACGGGGGTTCGGGATGAGGTGAAGGTGGTTGGTGCAGATCTGATGCTGTTGAGGGGTGCAGATGTGGGGGAAAGGTTGAGAGTTTAGACTTGATGTTTGCAACAGCATCATTGCCCAGCCAGGGTGTTTGATCGAGCCCCGATACCATGTGCTTACCATCCACAGGATCCAACAGCCATCCCTTAGGTGCCAGAAATTCCCGCATATTCCAACCACCATTGATTTAATACCTTTAAGCGAGCAACAATTGTGGTACTAAGGGCTTTACACTACAACACTATTGTCTTGGGAGGCTGGGGAGGCTGGGTTCTTGGTGTCGAACCTTGCAGATGAACTTGGCAGACGGAGTTCCAGAGACCTTCTCAGATGGCACCTCTTCTACCTGGGGTTCCTCTCCCACTCTTCTTTCGCAGGCAGTAAAGGCATTGGGATCGTGCGTTCCACGGCGATGGCAGACGCGGTCTTAGCTGAACGTTCCTATGTTCACTGGCAACTATTGGCAATCATATAGATCAAGACCCGCAGAAAAGACCCATCATGGTCTTAGGACACTTCTTTTTTCGACTGTGAGTTGTCATCCGCTGCCCTGAAGTGATGGGTGGCTCCCTTCACCACTCACCACTCGACAGGACTCCGTTCGCATGTGTCGGGATCAAAGCTTCAGCAGCTTTCTGGGCACAGGGAGGCGCTGGCTGTCCTGCCTTACAGGTCCTGGAGTTTTGTGGAAAGAGGCTGCGCTGCTGAGCATTGCGACGGGGTCCCCTAGGCCCAACCCTCGCAACAAGGGCCATCAATGATGTGTTTGATGCTCAGCCGGGCTCCGGCGGCGGTTGAAACCTATAACGCCCGTCGCTCCTTCTTCAGCCTGAAGAAGCGGCTTTGGTCATGTGACATGACTCACGTCCTGAAGCTCCTTGACCTTCCAAACCTTTTGAGGTTATTGGCTTCTCAGCATTCTGATGCATTCTGCCACTATGTGTCTTCTCTTCATCGCCGGAGAGATGCGTGCCAGACCAGGGCGGATCCATGTTCTCGTTGGGCTCATGCCATCCTGGTGGTCGTTGGGCGCTCCAGACGGCTCCGGATCGGCGGGATGCTGCTTCGTCCCACGTGGGCCACCTCAGAGGCTCGGAGGTCGCAGCGCTCGGACCACACCTCTGAAGAAGTGGCCACTTGGCCGGCCGGGCGTGGGTGAAGCTTTTTCGTGGGAGAGCGTGGACTCGCTGGCATTCTGCGAGCGAAGAGCGAACGCCTCGCCGCGAATCCGCGTCCTCCGCCTCGCTGCCTCTCGCGATGCAGCGAGCGAGAGACTCGGGTTCTTGGATGTGAAACCCTTCCAGTGCAGTGGTTCCCAGCTTAGATGGCACTGGTTCGCCCCAAATGTCTACGCCGTCTACGCCAGACAGATGGGGGTCCATGGCCCTTGTGCCATCTACTCCCCACCACAAGTGGAGTAGCTGGTCACCCCGACTTCCTCCAAGCAAAGCACCCCAACCCCGAGCCGGATCCATCGACAGGAGATGTTGGAGCACTACTTGGACGACTCTGAGCCGCCCATCGAGGCGGGATCGTCGTGCTTGGACGGGGATGAAGGACCTCGCGGATGAGGGATGAAGGAGGCATGGTGCCCTCCATCGTGGGTGAGGCTGTGAACGAACAGCATGCCGGTCGCAACGTCCAAGCATTTGGTAACTTTGTAAGCTTTTAACTTATCGAAAGGCTACGAATTGCGTTTCGCGCTGCTCACTCGGATGAATGTTGTTCTGTGCGACCAAGGGAATCTTGGCCATCTTCACCATGCAGCACCTTGAAACCTCTTTCGGCCTTGTCAATGAATGTGAAAAGACGTGCCCTTCTATCTTTGGAACACTTCTCCAGAACAGTGCCATTATACAACAAACATTCTGTCATGCTTCAACGATGGAACTACTTGCCAAAAGGACGAATGCCAATAGTGCACAAGCGGGAGAAAGAATTATTTGACTCATTAAAGCCCTTATCACCGGGTACGTGATGCACTACTTGCATTTATTTGCATCGATCCTGTTTCTTCACTTCCTCTGTTTTTCACGGGCAATGGAAGGCCAAGACACAGATCGATCAGATCGAACAACAGCTCCCAGGTGGGGTTGTTGGTCCCGCAGGGCACCTGACTTAAGCAAATCCACCGTCCTCACCGGGCCAACCGCTGCCGCGGCCCAATGGAAAAAGACAGGCCTCCACCCTGAAGTCCAGCTGACTAATTAAAGCATTTTAACACATACCAAGGCCCCCTAAGGGGTGTCCAATTATAGCTCTTTAGAGACTAAGGGATGTCCATGAACCACCCCTTGGTTAAGGCCCTGGTACATGGTCTTAACTTTATGACTTCTGAGTCTCGGAATTTCCACCTTTGGTGCCCCAAAAAGTCGTCGATCTGGACTTCCAGGGGGTTCAAGAAGGCCAGCCCCAAAGAGAAGAGCGATGTTCCGGGCATATACCATCTACCTTCCTCGCCCTTCACCCGTCCGTCCACGCGGGTTTTCCGTCCGTCACGTCACGTCCGTCAGTGATCCGGCAGGAATATGAGTTCCCTCTCTCCACCTTGGCGGTGGCCTCCTGGATCCTGCCGGACCTCATCGAAGAGCTGCAAGGCTTGTCGCCACCCCCAGGCGGGGATGGTGGTCGCGACCGGGGTTTCGGGGGGGGGGATGGTTGGGGCAGGGTCCCAAATCCCCAAAAGAAAGGAACAGGGTAGAACCGGGGTAGAAAGATCAAACAGAAAGCAACAAACAGGAGCAGGATGGAAAGTTCAAAAGAAACGCATTGTATTCCCAGATGGATCTGGGGCAGGTGAGCATCGGCGAGTGGTTTTGCGAGTGAGGCGAACTCCCTCGAACGGAACACCTTGCGCCCTCATTTGACTTCCCAATTTGATTGAACTCTCGGGCCTCTGTGGCAGTGTGATCCTCTTCACTTTTCGTCCAAAATGTCTTAAGTCTGAGACCTGCCAGTTACTAGCCCTCTCAGCCTCCCTATCGTTGCCAATTTACACATCTCCATCTTCCATCACACCTGGCTCAAAACGGCCGTCACGTTCCATATTTCAGCACTCCAGCTTTCATCACATTTGCCATATTCCCATCATTTTTTTGGGCTTTCCACTACAACCGCCGGTCTTTCCACTACCCACGGCGGTCGCTCCATGAGGGGCCTTCCGCCACACATGGCAACAGGTCACCCGTGGTTTCGACTGCGACCATGGTCCGAACCAAGCCCTGATGACGCAAATAGATGTTCCCCAAATAGATAGCGCGTCAGTTCCCAATACATCCCTAGGGATCCACATACCTTCTCAGAAGGTACTTGGACCCTCCAAGCCTACATAAATAGTCTCCAATCACCTTCTGAGAAGGTACTTGGATCCCTAGGGCATGTTTAAAAGAGGGACCTATCTAGCGGCCTACCAGGACCTTCCAAGAGGTGTCTATAAATAGCCTCGTAACGAGGTGATTCGGGATGTCCAAAAACCACCAACCTTGGAAGGTCCTGGTATCTACCTGGATCTTCCAACTGTCAAACCAATTTCTGCCTTTTCATACATAAAGAACAACAAAAACAGACAAAAAATTGTCATAGTTGGAAGATCCAGGTCAACTATACCTGGACCCATCCTGACTGTCTGGGTGTCTCTGGAGATCCCCAAGTAGTGCCAGGGGTAGTCGTTCGCCAGGACACCCCCCCCTCTGGTCGGATGGTCCTGGTCGTTGGTCACCGCCCCCGGCACGGCCCGAGGGTCTCAATGGGTGGATCATCGTAATCCATCCATTGCAACCTCGAAGCCGTAATATGTGGCGTCCATGCGCAAATCATGTTTGGGGTGGGTGGGTTGTTTTCACTTCAAGAAGTCTACAGTCTACCCTCAATTGACATGCCGAGTTTTCACCGTCAGGTCGGCCTCCGATGGTCTCCATGCACCCGACCCTAGGCGTCATCGTCTACGACCCCTTCTTGCCCCACGCGCTGGTGGCCGCACGACACTTGCATCTACCCGCGGTCTGCCTGGTGACGCATCCGGGGCCTGGCACTATGCCGCACCCTCCGCAATTGGTGGAGGCCAGGAGGGGAGGGTGAGTGTGGCAGGTCCTACCCCGCACGACGAACCTGCATCGATCCGCGATAGGCTTGGTTTTGGCGGGCTGCCGGGCTGTTTTCTTCTAGGCCTGATGGGTCTCCTCCCTTTGGCGTTGGATTGAACACCTAGGGTCTGAGTGACCATGAGTGACCCCTGTTTTGGAGGTCAATGGGTTCTAGGACCTAGGAACACATAGGAACACATAGTCGGCGGGGTCTATAAACTGCTCTATGTGCTTTTGAGCACTTGGCAACTCTGCTAGAAAGGTGGAGCCACGTTGATCTCCATCCTTCGTGTTGCAACAAGAGATTGTGAAGGATTGTGAAGGTCAACATGGGAATGATCAAGATTCACTTGCTGCCCGAATCCAGTCCTGGCCCGGATCCTTTCTCTTCTTCGGACTCCGGACCCCTGCGTTTCGATGTCAGATCCGCCCTGCCATGGAGAGTCGATTGACCATCCCTAGGTGGAGAGTGGCTTTCCTTCGGTCGACTCAGCATGTCGACTTGACAGAGCCATAAGTCGTCCAAGGCCAAAGAACCTCCCAAGGCCCTGGGGTCTCACGCGTCGGTCGGCCAGGTCGGTGGACCGTGCCGGGCAGCACCGTCCCTTTCGAAGCCCATCCTTTTTTATTGGTTCCCCTCATGTGCATTTCATGTGAACCAGCGCACGCGAGCGCACGGTAGGGCATGGCATGCTTTTTCCATCGCCAAAGCTGGCTGGTGAAGGAGTGGGAGAGCCACCAGATCGTGCAGAAGGCCCGCAAAGAGATCAAGGACTTCTATGCTCCTGGGCCTTGCTGTGTGGGGTTTATGTGCTTGTGCTCCAGCCTGGGGGTGTAGTCTCTCAGGTTTTCAGCTCACATGGCACTAGTTTTGCCAGATATTGCCAGATTATTTTTGCCTGGACTGTCAGTCTGTCTGATGCACTTGATGTCCATTCTCATCAAGAGTTGGAATGTTCTTGACGAAAATCGACGCGGGGTCCCAAAAGAGGGTCTGCAAGATGATTTCTCCCAACTCGGCGAGCATGTCTAGGACTTAGCACCATCAAGGGTGTTCGCCGTCGCCGCGGCCAGTGGTGACCGGTTCGAGGGTACTGGTTCTAACATGTTCTAACCGTTTTAACAAGCGTCTTGGACTCCCACGCCATGTGTCAGGCACTTCACAGTTCACGGGTCACGGGCCCCTGGCTGCCCCGGGCGGGCTGGAGACAGTTATACCACCATGGGATGCGTCATAAATGGGCTAAATGATGCTAACTGAAATGTACCTGGACCATCCAAAGGGCGTCCAATAGAGATCTCTAGGTAGTGTAGGGTAGCCTATTGGACACCCCGTGGATGGTCCTGGTAGCTATCAAGGTAGCATTCCATGATTCCATAAGGATTCCATAAGGATTCTGTAAGGATTCCGTAATGTGGACGCTTTTTGCCCTCCGTGGCCGTGGTTTGTTTCAGGAGTCAATGTAGGCAGGTATTCCACCACCTTCTCTTCTTCGACCATTGAATGAGTTCAGGAGGTAGTCTAAAATCATCTGAAACCCTGCGTCACTGAAGGCTTGTCTGGGATTCCCACTCCTTCAATCCATGGCGACTAGGCCCCAGGCCGATGGTCGCCTTCACCCCGTCCGAGATGACCTCGGAGGGTCTCCGGGCAGCCACCGCCCCGTCGCCATGCGGCGAGCTGAGGAGATGGACGTCTTTCAGCATGGCACCTTGATGGAGTTCCCTGGCGTCGAGTGGATGGTTTTTCGGGGTCCGGTGCCGAAGAAGGTGGAGTTTCCCGGAAGGAGTCCACCCGAAGAATCCAGGGTGTACGGAATCATGTGCCGGACCTTGGGGGGTGCCTTTTCAGGTGTTCTAAGTTCATCTAAGCTCAATAGGGGTCCATGTAGGCAAAGCGTTCCATACATGGCATGGTCTGGGGGTCTGGGAGGAAGGGAGGAAAGCACGAACACGAACGGCACCGAGCCTTCACTCCGTTGGGCCAACCCTCAATAGGTACATTTGAACCAGGATTGTGAGGCCAGGGGGTCTTGTAAGGCCAACGAGAGGTAATTTGAGCAGAACCTGTGGGACGAAGGCTGCCTAGGTAGGAATGGCTCGAAGAAAAAATAACATGCAATTTCCCCAAACAGTGTGGACACACTGGGAGTTCCTACGGTGAGTGTTAAGGGTGGGTTCTATTCAACACTGTTTGGCCTCAAGCCAGTAGTTTCTAAGTCCCCCCCCCCACTTGACAGGCTGCCCGTGTTGCGCCATGGACGGCACCCTTGCCAGATGGACTCGTGGACCCTCAGCTCCAGCATCGCGGTGGGGCAGATTTGGAGTGACACTCCAAATCATCATGGCGGAAGGTGGAGTGAACACGACATGTGAACCGCCAGGTCAACCTGGTCCTCTGAACTTCTCCGGGGGGGCGCATGCCGTCCGACGAAACCGCCGCTGCGGGCGTGCTCCACCGCGGAGGTTTTACTCGGCGGACTTGAATCTGGTGACGACCATCGCAGAGCTCTTCGCCCCACCGCGTTTGAGCCCTCAGTGCCTTGGTGTTTCGGACGGTCTGAAGGATGGGCCCCTGTTCCCTGGGTGTTAGAAATTTTGGGGTCAAGAACATCCTTTATAAAGTCTGAATGGTTTCATTGGCGTAGTCGGCGTAGTGACCTTTTTCCGGGGAGTATGTTGAAGCTGGCTGAAGGTCGTTGGTGGTCTTTCTTTCAGGCTGAGGTTGACATCAATCGATGCACGGCATTCTCGTCCAGAACCCCACGCATCAACCGATGCATGAAACACCTCCATGGGTGGTTTCGATGGCCATTTGGGCGGATTTCTTCATCGTCATCCTACCCCAAGGGTGTCCACATGTGTCCACCAAACTGAGTGACCGGTGCGGCGAACCTCCGAAGGTCGCGACCTCGAGGAGGTAGGTCGAGATGTGCCCACACCTGGCAACCCTGGCTGCTTCAAGCCATTCAAACATCCAGGTTGACACCCCATCCCACTCCAACGATCTGTTCAACGTTTTTTTATGTTTTTTTTCTCACATCGTTCTCGCATCATATATCCAGTCCAATTCCTCAGTTCCTACCCTTGCCGCAGATCGCCCCCCCGCACAGATTTTTCCCAGCTCGCATAACATTTTCCTCAAACCTGTGAGGCTGAAGCGCTTCGGGCACTTCCCCTTCCACTGTGTGGGCCCTATGGCCGCTGGGCTCTGATAGCGACTCAGGTGTCGCTGGAACAGCATACCAGATATCACTAGGGCTGTTCCGGTTATTTTGGGTGCTGGTCGGTCAGTCGGTCGGTCGGTCGAATGGACAAGCAGGACAAAAGACAAACCCAGACGCTCATGATGCTCATGGATCCTCCTAAGTAGGGGCCAGACCCTCAACCCTAGGGTTTTGAAGGACCAGTCGAGCTGTTTTCACGGAGAGTCTGGGAACATCACCGAGCCGGCTAAGAGGTTTTACCATCCATGTCCTGGTTCATCCCGATGGTAGGTATAGGGTACATTCCACATGATCGGTCCCGGATGGGGCGTTCTCTCTCCGTCCCGTCCGCGCCCCGAACCGATGCGAAGGCCTTGGTGCTCGCTTAGGGACTCAAAACTCACACCTTTGTGACTCCTGGCGGGATTTGTTTCGAAAACGGCCTCGAGATACCTCGAGGTGACTTGGATGGAGGAAAGGTAGTAGGAAAGGTTTATACCTACCAGCACCCTGACGAATAACAGGTCTCCGAAATGAGGCTTATGGTGACGGCTGCGTGCGACCCCTCAGCTCGTCGATTTGATCACCTCAGGAAGTGGAAGTGGATGCCCGGGGTCCAGTTGAGCACAAAAGGAAGGTCTGACTAGGTGATCCGAGTTCAGGCATTTCCTTTACTTCAGCATATAACTTCAGTTGGTCAAAGAATAGTCGAACTGGACTTCTAGGGCGGTGTGGATTAATCCCAAACATCGACCATATATATATATATAGATATATATACTCCCCAGTATAGCGGAACTTCAGACTCAACGAAGACTTCGACACTCATGCCTCAAATCCCCTGAGCTTGCACCGATTGCCAAATGATCACAATCACAGTCACGTCTCTTTCGTTCGACTACTCGCCCCAGCATCCGGCCCAAGCATCTCCCCCCTTCGCCGGTGTTCTTCACCCCAGGTGAACCCGAAGCTGAAGCGTTTGGCACATGCCTTCGCACCCTCCAAGCCGGTCGAGCCGTTGCCCCACGAGCAGATTGCGCCTCGGGCGTCCAGGGCCGAAAGCAAGTGCCAAGGCATTCCCAGACCATGGGAGATTGACCCATACCCTTTGGCTTCCAAGAGCAATGTTGGTGCCGTGGTGTAAAATCCTTTGTAGCAAAGCACTGGTTGATCTGGTAAAGACAATTAAGATTGTGGTTGGAAGCCTAGGGTATACATTTGCCATCATTTGATCATCTAAACAAATGACCCCAATATCCCAAATTGATGGGCAAATCATCCAGTCCCATGGATGATGGACGGGCAAGCCCAAGACTAGTGACGAACAACTGCTATTTCATACTACTACGTAACTATACCTCGTAGGGCTCCAACCATATCCTGAGAAGGTTGTTGGACCCCCCTGGCACCCACCCCAACCATCTTCGAAACGGAGGTAATTAGTTGGAGCCCCATAACGTAGAGTTGATTCGACAAGGCCTCCCATATGGAAGACGTTGAGCACTGGAAAGCTCTTCGCTCCCGGGTTCCACCTTCTTTTCCAACTAAAAGCCTGGGGCCTATTGGCCTCCCATGAACTGTGTTGAAATGGATCCCAGACTTCAGGTGGCCTGGAAGGGGGCGGGCTCCGCAAACCCATTGTCACTTCACGCCCTTCTTCGTGGTTCGTTCGTTCGAACGGCGACCCGCTCGGGACCATTGGGGCCGTCCAGGACGCTGCCCTGGCGGCCGGGAAGCGCTTCGTCTTCGTGTCGATGGGCACCGTGGGCAGCGGGGGCCGCTGGAACGGAGGCTTTGGGCCCCTGCGGCCTGGCGAGGCAAAAAGGAGAAACACCACAAGGCCCCCCTGTCGGGAAGGGGTGCCCAGAAGCCTAGGCCGGTAGTGTGGGGTAGTCCAGCCAGGACACGCCGACAGGAGGGTCCTGGTAGACTCTTGATGGATCATACCCCCAGCATGAAGAGGTGGTCGAAAGGAGCAAGGGCCAGGGTTGTCACGGACAGAGATCCGTATTGCCCGTCTCCACATGAAGAGGTTCCTTAATCTAATTGGGATGGTTTCATCAAGAGTCTACCTGATGGCTCTGGGGAACGCGGCATGCGGTGGGCTGAGGATGGCTGGAAAGCGGGTCTGTTGGATGGGCTCCGGAGGGAAGGTGCTTGGCTTGGGAGGCGGATGCGGTGGTGGGTGGTAGGCAGGTGGTGGTCGTTTGCCAGGATTCAGGGATTTTTCTATGGATTCGTTTTATATCGTTTTATCATCGGTGTCATTCCTTTAGTGTTGGTCCACTCATGCTTGGAATTGCTGGGCATGGGTTCACAGTGCTGTGGGGATGTGCTAGTGCATGTTGAGGAATGCTGTGGGATTGGACCACTTCGGGACCCTTTGCAACTCAGGCACGTTGGGAGGGCAGTTGTGCTTCACCTTCCAATGCACGTTGAGAGAGAGCAGCTCAAGTTAAAATGCTCTCACAAGGGCACGCCTAACCGTGCAAGGGACCCCTATATAGCACCGGTCGATACCCACAGACCAACACCTCCTTGTCCTGTTGCTTCCAGTGGGCAAACTTTTATCTATTTTGAGGCGGGGAATGCTCCACTCTTGCCATCATCGCCATCCATTGTTGGTTTTGTTCATGTTTCCCTATACAGCCTAGTGGAGGATCAAGCGCATCACGTCTCACTCCTCCAACTCAGCGGAGCTCAGGGCCGCGCACAACGGCATTCAGAATCTCACGGGGAAGGAGTTTCTTCAGCCTTTTGGCATGGAGGTGGGATAGGGATTGGATGGGCATGTAGAATGATATATTATTATAGATTATTAATATCTACCAGCACCCGAACAGGTCACCACCTGCCACTTTTGATGTCTCTCAAAAGCCACCATTGCAGAGAGGGTGCTGGTGTACAAGATTGGAAGCCAGGCGACTTGAGTGGACCAGAGTTGCTCAGGGAAGTGCATCCCCGAAGATCTTCTTGAGCATCCGATCTGGAAAAAACATACCCCTGGGCTCTTGCAGCTACCACCAGACCCCTGCGCGCGGTCTTCCTGCCATGCCCGGTTGGTCTGGTCCACGGTCGCGGAGGGTCGAACTGAGGCAAGTCTACCGGGCCGTCATGGAGGCCTTCCAGGATCAGGAGGGAGTGGACGTAGGGAGCAACGGCATACGACGTCAATGAGGGCTCCGGCCTGGCATGACCGGGTTCAAACATGAATGGGGCAACCTCATGCTTGTAGTGTAGCACAATCCTTTGTACAACCAATGTTGTGCGGGTGGAAAGACTATTAAAGCAATGTTGGAATCCTCATTAGGGGAATTTGGAGGTGTTGTTCTCTCGTGTGATCCTGTGTTGAATTGATCACCTGCATCCACGAAGTCGAAGTCCAGGCGACCTGGTCACCATTCATCAGTCATGGCTGGGACAACGCAACAGATGCCCAGTCGCCTAGACGTCCAGTTCGACCATTATGAACCATAACATGGTGCATTGAAACTAGAGCTACACACTTGAGCGTTTTGACCAGTTCAGGGGACGCTTTGGCAGCTTCCGTCCCCGGCCTCTTTTGCCGGGGGCGTTCGCTCCTGAACAGCTTTTCCAGGAGGATCTCCTGGTGCTGATGGCCGTGGGCCCCCAGCCCGATGCCCTTGAGGGCCTCCCCAGTTGTCCCAGCAACTTGGTGTCCAAGAGAGGTCGCGAGAGGGGGGTCGCAAGGCCGAAGCAGGTCCTTTCCACAGCGCTTTTTGGAAGGACGTCTTGTTACTCTCCGATAGGTGACGGACGTCGCATAGGTTGAGGATTTGGCACGGACCGTCAGGTGACCAGACACCCAGACACGACCCGGACCTGGGACTGCCGTAGGACTGCCGATCAGTTGGGGTGGTGCCAGAGGGGTCAATTGATCGGCATATCCAGTCCCGTCTCTGGGATGGCTGAACCTGTCAGCTTCGGATCCCGTCCTTTGGACCGGCGGGACCCGACCTGGGAATGTGGGATCGGTTTTGGGTTTGGCCACTGGATGAAGGGTGAATTCTTGGATCTTCCCGAACCTCTTGGGGCTCATGGAAGCGGTCTGCGCCCGAGGCAACGTCCTCCTGCGGCCGACGGTGCCGCAACTGGAGGTGCGGCAACGCCCCGCGCCGCGGGGGGGGGGGGCGGTTGGATGCGGTGCACTGGACCCGAGAAAAGCCATGGAAGTGGGAGGATGTGGCCAGTGAAGGGCAGTGACGGACCGAGGTCCACCCAGAAGAGCCTCTTTAAAAGTCTTTTGGAATGCCCAGGGATTCCTGGGAAGGGTATATCCCTAGGGATCCAACCATATCGTCAGAAGGTGTTAGTTGGAGCCCTAGATTATAGTGCTTGAAAGGGAACCTTTGGCTAAACCATGCTCAACCACGAAGCAGGTATATAAAACCTTCAGCAAGGACTTGAGTAGGACTGGCACGTGGAGAAAGCAAACCCAAGACTTCTCCGCTTCCTTCCATGAACCTGAAGATGGCAACCTGCACAGGCCTCCAAAACGATAGCAAAACGAGAACGACATATGGCAAACATGCGAGCGCTTGGGAGGATACCCACATGACCGGTTTCAGCATATCGCGTTTTGATGGAAATTGAAAGACCATTAATGCAAAATGAAAGGAACATGAAAGGAAACAAATGCGAAATGAAAGGACATGAATGCGAAATGAAAGTCAATGACAGGTACAGATGACATCTGTTGACTTTCGACCAAGGATGCTTTCACACCCACAGAAAGCTGGACAATTCAGATTTCTAGCACACAGAGCCCAACACCTGAGAAAACGATAAGAGTAAAAAACGATAACATTATTTCGAGGTATTGCAAAAGACACGGGGGTTTTTTCAATATCCCAGTTGGGTACTCCAGGTGAGGCATCTAAACCGGTCACTTATACAACCTCTCTTGGGAGCTTCGTGCGTGGGGGTGAGCTTCGCTTCGCTTCTTTTTCGCCTGGCGGGGGAAAAGAACCGGGAACGACTGGGTCGTCACGCTTTGTTGGGACGAGATTCCATTGAGTATACTGACTGAGTGATTTTGTACCGATCGACTCGAGTTAAAAGAGTGTTAAAATGAGGTCCCGCCGACCTGATCGCTTTCCTGGAACGATCCGTGTCGCGTGGCACGTGGCACCGTGGCACCGTGGCAGGTGCTGCAGCGGTGCCACGCCTTCGTGACGCATGGGGGAAACAACAGCATCCACGAAGCCTCATGGCAGATGAAGCACTTTCGGGGTGGGAGTGGGAGTGCAATCGTCATAGATGGCCTTGGAACATGGGTTGGAGCTGGTTGGAGTTGGTTGGAGCTGGTTGGAGCTGGCTGGTTGGTTGGTTGGTTGGTTGGAGCTGGTTGGTTGGTTAATAGAGGAGATACCCCTGGGCGTGTAGCAATGCGGAGAATGGATGGAGGAGCATTTTTGTGTTTGGGGTAGTTGATATAGCCGGAAAAAATGGTGGCTTCGACACGCTGTGATGGGGTTGTTTTCGAGATTAGGGATCTGAACTTCTGAACCTGGTTCAGCCCGGGTTATTATGAGCTATGACTGAACTGGGACCGAAGCACACTTGGCATGCGAGGAGTGAGTGTTTTCCCACTCTTGGTCAAAACCCGTTCACAGCCCGCAACTAAGTGGTCAAAATCCAAGATGGCCAACCTTCCAGGCTAGGTGAACCCCATAGCCTTCCAGTTTTCACCCACCACCCACGCGCGTTTTCTTCGGGGCGAGCCACGGTGAACGGTCGTGTGAGAGGCCCGGAGGCTCGGGACGAGGTGAAGCTCCACTTCCTTCGTCCCCACCGTGGCATGCCATGTGCGATATCATGAAAGCAGCAGTCCTATGGCCGCCCCCTACATTTGGTGGTTGTTGGATGGTTTTCATGCACCCAGACGCGACCCTGGACCCTCCGTTCAGTAGGGGCCGGACCCGAATCCTCTGGAGGGGTCCGGACCCGAACCAATAGGGTTTTGAGGGACCAGTCGAGCTGTTTGGAGCGCCTGGGCATGTTAAAACCACGGTAACGTAGGGCTATACCAGCACCCGACGAGTCTCAAAAGGTCTCTGAAATGGTGGCTGAAATGGAGGCTCAAAAGTGGCTTTTGTGGAGACCTGGCAGGTTTCGGGTGCCGGTCTTTGTTTTCATTTTTTTTTGTGGAGGGATGATTGGACCCTCCTATGGAGGGTTTTGACCCTGCATAGCAGGGGTTTGGACCCTCAAAACCTTCACCTTTGAGGGTCCTTGATCCTTAGGGGGGAGGGATTTCTCTAATAGATCGAAACGGTCAACCTACTTTTCTATCCATTTGGGGGTCTCTCTCTGCCATGATTCTTGGACCCGGCTCGATCCCGCGCGCCACCCGCCCTCGCCTCGGAGGCCTTGTCCTACGCGGTGCCCATGGCAGTGATCCCCATGTTCGGTGACCAACCCTACAACGCTGAGAGTGTGGCGGGCCTAGGCTTCTTGGCGTGACTTCATGTAATTAGACTCTTGCCTGACAAATTTCTGCCTAACTTGGATCATGTTCAGAAATGGTTCAATCCAAGTGGGGGCAGTTGATGACATCAAGAGTCGATGCGCGGCATCGATGGGATGACCGATTCATCGGGTGAGCCGGCACCTGCCGACGCCAGCAGGTCGGTGCTCCAGGTCGGTCCTGCTTGGGGTAGGTCTAACAATTGGTGACCTGGAACGGATGATCCAGCTTCATGTGGACTCTTGAGGACCATAACCCCAGCCATTTGAATGGAACATCCTCTTCGGGGGGTTTATGGTCCTCAAGAGTCTACATTAGCTTTGAGGCGGTTAGGAACTTCGCTCCAATGGGTGGACGCGGCCAGGGTGCGGCTTGGCATTGCTCAGGCCGCCCATGCGACCCTTTTCCACCATGCGACGGGAAGAGAGCGAGAAAGAGGCCGCAGAATCTAGAAAAACAAGTGACCGAGACACATCCGGCCGCTAGATCACGCTCCTGGAGAGCCAATCTAGCTGTTCGTGGAGTACTGAGTATTGCCCAAAACTTGAGTGGCCTTCCTCTGATTGTGGGAGGTTACCTATATAATGACATAATGACCCAGGAGTGGTTTGGACTGACTTGACCTTGAGTTGCTCAATAATGATCATTGGCCGCCAGTTCGGCCGTAGACATGGACCATGACAATCGGGGACCTGTAGAGATATAGACTCTCCTGCCGTGCTGATCCCTTAACCGTCTTGCAATCCTAGCGAGGCAGTTCGGCGAGTGAACCAAACCAACAGAGGTTGAAGAACCTGAACTAGACTATCCCAGTTCGGTACCCCAGGTTATGGTCCTATAATAAGGTCACTTATATAACCTCTCTTGTTCTCCCATGTTCCACCCGTTTTCGCCCCGTGAATTGCCGGGTCTGGGTCCCTCCCAAACCGTCCGAACCGTTGAGCCCCCCGGTGTTTCGGGTCGCGTCCGGGCCACTGGACCTTCCACCGGGCCATGGACCTGTTAACAGACGGTTCTTGCTTCGCACTTCCGGCCCCCCCAAACGGAGGTTGAGAAGGAAGTGTAGGCTGCAGTGCTGCTGCACAGTCCCTCCTTACAACTTACAACTCATGCCGGCCTCACTAACTAAGCACTGATGATCGGAAGGATGCACGTGAGGGACCAACAAAGCACTCCCCCATTATAAGCAACTGGATTTCGGATTCGGGCGATGGCCGGCCATGACTCAGTCCTTGAAGAAGTGCAAGAGGTACCAGCACCGAACCCAACAGGTCTCCAAAATGGAGGGTTGGTTGGGAAAGGCCCTAACAGGTTTCAATCGGCGACCTGTGAAGTCGGTGCTGGTGCTTGATGTTGTTGTTTTTGATTCGTTCTTCCCTGAGGCTGCGGTGTCTCCTTCCGTTACCCCTTGCAGACGCTGACGCCGCAGCGCCTGCGCGGCGCGGTCCGCCACCTGCCCGGGAGCCCGAACGGAGCCTTGCTGGTCGGACGACGCCATAGCTCCTGTAAAATTCCACTGGACCCTGGTAGAGGAACACCGGTCCTGACTTTCGCCAGTCGAGCCGGGTCCATGTGAGTTTTTGGGATAAGATTTGTACGATTTGTATGGGGTGGGGCGTCTTGGGCGTCTTGTTTTAGCTTGGGAGAGTTGTGGGACGCCGGAAAAGGCAGTAGAAACTCGTGCGTGCCATTTGGCCTCCTTCAGATGGGCATCAGGATCGTCCAGTCGGTCCAGTCGGTCCAGGAGTGTGATCATGTTTGGTGAAAAAACACCTTACGAGTTCTATAAAACAATCCCAGACGCTCCATGTATGCCATATATGCCTACATTGACCCCTCAAACCACCCCAATGTAGGCATATATGGCATACATGGAGTGGCCCTAAGGATCAAGGACCCTCAAACACATAGGGTTTGGTTCGGGTCCGGACCCCTGCGTGAAACGGTGGAGAAGGTCCGACCCCTGCCATGGAGAGCCCGTACGGATTCTTAGGGGAGTTCTATATAACAATGGTTCTTCGGTCGTGCAAATTGATGTATTGATGGTGGCTGGAATCCGAGGGCAAAAAAGAAATCACAAAGCACATCGAGTGGTTTAGGAGACTTGGGACTGAATGACCTTGGAAGGACTTGCCGCCCCATCTTTCCCGGCGGGGCGCCAGTCATGAAAGGCACCGAACACCCGCACCACCAACCAAGAGAGGTTAAGTGACCCAAGTAGGGCCTTAACTGGGTACCTGTGGGATAGCCTACAGGGTTCTTCAGCCCCTCCCTATAGCATCTAACCTGTCCACTTCTGCCAAAAAAACACACCGCTGGTGCGAATCGACTGCTTTCGCGTGCTTTTTCGCGCCCGCTGCAACCGCGCGGCGCGGGTGCGGCGAAACCGCGCGGCGCTGAGGTTGGAGGAGCCGTCCTACCACTTGGCCGCCATGCAGCTGAGCCAGAAGCTTCGTGCAGCCTCCGGCGCCAAGGGAGCCGCGAAAAGCCACGCGCGGGTCGTTTCACGCGCGGGTCGTTTCACGCGGGATTGGTGGAGTCAAGGGAATAAGGAACAAACTTGCAGGAAACCACCAGGGTTTGGACCCCACAAAGCCCAAGGGTTTGATGTGGCGGATTTTCCTACCACATCCTACCACCAACTGACCTGGACCTCGCCTGAACACACACGCGCAGAACATCGACGCCGTGGTGGTGTGTAGTCGCCAATCGAAGTAGATATATGTCTCAATTCCAGAGGCTCTCAATCCCAGTGGTTGAAATCTGCTGAAATGTAATCCCTAGGGATCCACATACCTTCTCAGAAGGTACTTGGGCCCTCCAAGGCTACATACATAGTCTCCAATCACCTTCTGAGAAGGTACTTGGATCCCTAGGGAATCAAGAGTCCACATGCCTGGACCCTCCGACCTTCGGGGTGTCCTGGCTGGACTACCCCACACGATCCCCAAAAGGCTTCCAGACAGGGCACCCCGACAGGAGGGTCCTGGTGATTTATGAAATGGTTTGGACCTGTTTCATCAACCGCTGCATTCGTGAGGTCCAAAGTGGTGAGGGGAACAAAGAAAGGCTCATAGCGTATGGGTTGGGTCCTTTCTGAGCCTTTGGGATGGTCAGATTCTGAAGCACTCTGAAGCGGATGCTTCGACCTCAGGCTTGTGAGATTCTCAGATGCTCACACTTTGGCGCTGGGTTTTCCCGGCCCTCACAGGCGGTGCTTGTCATACGATGTTTGTTCGGTACATTTCTTCCAAAAGCCCACTGGCTTGACCAAAACCCCTCGGCCAAGAACTGGAGGCCCACCCTGGTGGCTGCACTTCGTGGTTTGAAGGTGATAACGGAAGTGCCTGGCCCACTTCCATTCGCTCCACTGGCCCCGTGGCTTCCACCGTTGGTGCCGCGCCGCCGTGCGGCCCCAACAAGCGCAACAACCAAATAGGAGTTAGGGGCCCAGGCCCAGGGGTAACCTCCCCAACCTTGGGGTAGCCTCCCCCATCCTCCCCCCAAATCTTCCGTTTTCGCAGGTGATGAAACCAACGTCCCTGCCACATCTGCGACCCACCCCAGTCGTCCCGCTCCAGGAGCTGCAGAGGCCATCGTTCGGGCGACGTCGAAGTGCCATTTGGCCGGCGCCTGAAATACAGAGCCTCGACCGCGAAGAGTTGGGCGAGACGCCGGGAGAGAAAGTGGTGTTCTGCAAGGACAAGAGGTTGAAGTTGAAGAACCCTATAGACTATCCCAGTTGGGCACCCCAGTAGGATCCTATAATGAGGTCACTTAACATCTTTTAATAAATCTAGGATTTCTAGGCAGGTGGTGACAGCGACATGGGGCCGAGTTGGGTTTTGTGCAGTCTGTGGGCTGCCCCTTTGGCCCTTGGCAGAAGGATTGGATGCTTTGGGGTTCTGAAGGCCTGAAGGCAGGTCTTGGACTGGTGGGGTTAGAGTTCGGGACCTGCTCCTCGTGGGGTCGTCCTTGAATTTCATGGTTGGCCGTGGGCACGTGAACCAAGGCATCAAAACACCTGCGACACCAATCCCACAGTCCAAGGACGACCCTATCTTGCAGCCTGAAAGTCCACCGATGTTCCGAAAAACATGCACAATTTCTACTTCAAAGAAGGCCTCGGTGGAGCCCGACCGCGGGCTCCGCGCTGGGTGGGACACATCTCCGTTTTTTTTTTCCGGAAGAATTGGAACTCACTGAGCAACCAAGAGAGGTTGAACAGCCCTAAGGTCGTCCATCCCACATGTACCACAGACCAGGGTCCTAGTTCGGGTCTCTCAACCTCTCTTGGAATGAACCGTGGATGTTAGCTTAGCTGCTAAGGTTTTTACGTCGATCAGATCCCAAAAGGCTCTCATCTTGTATGGCGCGTATGCCCATACATTGACCCCTGAAACCACCCAAAGTGATCCAAAGTGTAAATATGATGCCATACATGGAGTGACTGGGACTGGGAGATGCATAATCTGATGTACCATGTAAATTGGGAAGTGTGGACCGGAAAGCGACCGCTCAGGTTTCTGTACAGCATGCTTTTAATTTGCACTGAGCTGCCTGGGCATTGCGGATTTGTACAGCCTGCCTGTGTTTTTTTGCGCCTCAAATGAAGGCAAAACTGGCCCCTAGAGAAAGCAACTGGTTTGGGAGGGAGGGATGTTGGACACCAATTTTTCTTATCGAATTTCCGACTTTGTTTTCTGGAAGCGCAACCTCTGGGGACCTTGCGGCCAAACCGGCCAAACCGGGTGCGGTGGGCGCTCGGAGTGGTGGCTGCTTCTTCATCTTGCGCGAAGTCTGACGACGCGCCTGGCTGCTCCAAGATCTTTTCTGAAAGCCCGGCGCTTCTTCGCCCCTTCCTTGCGGAAACCATCGCGGTCATCGCGGTCTTTTCGCATGAAGCCGCGGTCTTCCGCGCTCGGTTCCGCGGCTTCCGAACTTCCAATTTTGGGCTCTGCTCGCCCAGGCGGAGGAGTGACCTTACAGTACTGCCATCACTTACAGTCGCCGGGGTGATGGGGAACGCGGAGGGGGGTGGACGCCCCTTTTTTTTCTCCCGGCTTCTCGCGGGAGCGCGGAGTCCTGGCGTGCAATTACATAGACACAGCATACAACCGTCGCCGCTGGGACCTACCTCGCTCCTCGCAACACCGGAGGTCCCCCTACTCCTCTGCAGCCCCTTCGATCACCCGCTGCCGGGGAAAGCTTTCTCCACAGCAGCTGGAGAACCCCCAATGGTTTTCTACAACTCTCGGGCCGAACCAGGTCGCGGGAGGAGAACCGAACAACGGCAGCAGGCGAAGAAAAACATCGGAGCCGCGGTTTGCAGGTTCCGCTGCGGCAGGTTTGGAGGATATAGGGTGCAACATGGTGCCACGCACCGACGGATGGAAGTCGGGTCGAGTTTGTGGCGTGCCCCTGATCCACTCACTTTGGGGGGATTCCGGGGGACTCTTCCTTTGGAACGGCCGCACCTGGTTTTAGGGCGACCAAGAGTGCGCCAGAGCCTGAACAGGAGTAGAACAGGAGATCAAACGATCAACAGTGACCTCTACAGTACAGGTCCAGGACCAGACCTAGGTCCAGGACCAGACCCAGGTCCCTCTACAGGTCCTGCAAGGCCTCATTGAGCATAGTGGTTTTTGCAGGATCAACATGATCAACTCCAGTTCGAGGTCAGTTTCTGACCTGCCAACAGAGGTTGAAGGACCCTATAGACCATCCCATAGGTACCCCAGTAGGGTCCTAGTTCAGGTCACTTCACCTCTTTAGGCTGTTGGGGCTGTAGGGAATCCGCCATCCATGCCGTCCCAGCCGAACAACTCGAGACATCGATCGACTCAAGACCGAACGCAACGTCCCATGCCACGCGACCCCAAACGGAAAAAGACGAGGTTCCAACCACCAACCCAAGGGGGGCATGCCATCCACCGAGGTCGCTCGAGGTCGACTGGTCGACCGTCTCTCCGCCTCTCTCGCCCGAGCCGCGCCGCGCGAAGCCGCCGTCGCTCGAGATGGTGTCACACGCTGAGGCCCCGCTGTGCCATGGCTGAGGCGAGGTGATGGGGGCCACCGGCGACGGGTGGCAGTGGAGGTGAAGACCCTCCACTTAGCTCGGCTTGGGGATTTGGAGGGCATCTTAGAGGCATTCCAATGGCCACAGATTTTAGGGTTCTTGCCGAGCAACCATTGTTTTACATTGTACTAACGAAGGTTATGTACTACAAGACTAGGTCGTTCCCACGTTTAAATGGTAGGGTAGAGATGGGTGGAGTATATGAATCTAAAATTCATCAACTTTTGCATCATGGCTCTGGCTGAACCCCTTGATCCTTTCCACTCCACTCGACGAGAGAAAACCTCTTCATAGCGGCTGACAAGTTTTTGGGCCCGATCGAAGGCCGCAAGTGGTGCAGCATGTGCTTCGTCTAGCATTGCTAGGCTTATAACTTATACCCATCACAGACTCACAGACGCCTTGAGCAGTTTCTTCTCTTCCGCTGCAATTGGACGTATTAGTTGCCCAGGCAGACAAGAAGGGCCATGCCGTGGGTCTTGGCCCCCTCTCCAGCCATGCTCCCATCCGGGCCAGCCAGCCATGCTCCGAACGCGCCCACGCGCCACGGCGCCGTTTCGGTCGGGTCGACGATATAGGAGGCGGAGAAGCCCAAAGAGGAGCCAAAGACGCTTGGCTTGCTTGGCTTTCCGTCGTGGGCCGTGGCGTTTCGAGATCCATTTCGTGGCGGCTTTCGTGGCTGGAGTGGCAGTGGGGTGAAGTCGAAAAAGCCAATATTGAAGCTGAGTGCCAGGACCATTCAATGTCAAATAGACTATACCCTACAGTACCTAGAGATCTCCATTCTGCTGGTGCCATGGTTCAGGGTCAGAACCCCCTACAGATTCCAAACACAAGGTGCCTCGACTTCTCCTCTCACCCGAAGAATCCTGGGCCCTCAACTGGAAAGGGTTTGGTTCAGGTCCGGACCCCTGCTATCGCGAGTTCGACCCCTGCCATGGAGAGCCCCTTCCTTCGGACACTATCCGGGCCAGCGCTGCTGGACGGCTTTTCGTGGTCCGGGCGCCGACGACTCTCGAGGAAGGAGGAGGCGAAGCCCGAAGAAGCCAAGCCCGGAGAGAAGCGAAAGGCGCGGTGGCGTCGGCCCGGGAAGGCGACCCAAAGGGTCCCGGGGGGGGGGGGCGAACCCAGCCGGAACCAAAAAAAAGGAGTTCGGTGGAACCCAGGAAGCAAAGCAATGAAACATCTGGCTTTCCGCAACACATATGGTATACAAATGTATACAACAAGACTGCAATGGTCTCCGGGTGCCTCCTCCGATTGCTTCGACCTCCAGATCCTTTGGATTCAGGTCTCCCTCCATCGGTCCGATCGGGTCGGCCGGAGTGGAGGCACCACGACGGCCCCACTGGACTCCACGGGACTGGAAGAGGTGCCGATCAGTTGACCCCTCTGGCACCACCCCAAGCGATCGGTGAATATGCCCTGGCCCTGGCACACTGGCACATGGAGCGTTTGGGCTATCCAGGTCCAGTTTTCTTTATTGGTTGAACGGAAGGCAAACGGGTACGGGTGAGGGTAGCTTCAAAAGGGATTGGCCAACTTGCGCTAGCTGAGCCCCCTGCGTGGCGCTGGGCTCTTATCATGCACCGGTGCCACAAATCACCACCATCACCCCTCTTCGCTACCAACAAACCACCCATGTCTTCAATGTCTTGCAGATTCTCGCAGTATTACTTTACTATATTTTTCCCGCAAAGTTTTGCCTAATAACACCGGCTCTTTCATGGTTTTACTATCTCTAGCGATCCAAGTACCTTCTCAGAAGGTACGACGGGATCCCTCCACATAACAGTGTCTCCGTCATCACCTTCTGAGGTACGGTGCAACTGGATCCCTATAGGATATGTTTTACCTAATAAGGATTTGCAGAAAAAAGACAGATTTTTCATGGCTTACCTGATGTTTTACGGGGTTCCACCGAAATCTGTTCAATCGTTTTAAGTTCCGGCTGGGTTCGGTGCCCCCCCCCCCCAACCCACGACCCCCACCGCCCCGGTCCCCTCTCCGTCCGCCAGCAGCGCCAGGACGCGTCGGCTCCGGAGGACGCGAAGCGGCTGAAGCCGACGCCGCCGGATCCGCAGGTGGTGCGGCAATCTGGGTGGAACCTTCTGTATAGTTCAGATCCTGATTGTGTTGAAATGGGTGTCAGATATGTTTTTAGTTCGACATGTTTCAACCACTTTTGTTTGGCTATTTCTTGCAGCCGTATGGTTGGTGTCAGCATTATGAGCAGGAGTTTAACGATTATAGAAAACCCGTCCCAATATGGACGATGTAGAATCTATTTATCGATTTTTTGAACATACTTCGATCCATATGAAGAGGCTTTGCGATCCATGAAGCCGGGGGGGTTTCATTCGAGACGGAAAGGGCAGGTAAGGGCGGGGTGGCGAAGGGGTCCGAAAGCTCAGGTATTCTAGGGGTTTACCCCAACAATGTTCTAAAGACTCCTGGTCGAAAGAGCAGCGGGAGGAGTGCCTGTTGTTTCGGACCCTATCCTGCCCCGAAACAGGACCTATATGGTGCTTAGAAGACTTGCCTAATTGAACGAAAACATCTACCCAGTACCCAACTCTACAGGTCACCACTGTCGCCACTTGACATCGTCTCCAAAAGGATTCAGAAGAGACCTGTTGGCCGAATGAAGAAGTTGGGAGTCGGGTGCTGGTACACGGAATGTTCTTTGGTTTCGGATGTGCGTCAGAAGGACCGAGAGACCATGCCATCCACGCAGTTAGTGGTCCGTTCGTGCCAAGAAGGGCCGAGCTATGTCAAACTCTCACGAGTCATCCGTGTTTTCTTTTTTTCCGGTTTGGGGAACGCAGGGTCGATCCTTGGGATGGTCAGGCAGGTCATGACCTTTAGAACACATCCCTTTTGGTCCACAGAACGGGCGCCGTTTGGAACATGTCCGTGATGAATTCCATCCCACCAGTTTTTACTAGGTACTAGCGTTAAGTCGACTCAGCTTGTACAGGGATGCCTAAGCATAGATTGTATTGATCTAGAACACATGTTTTGTGTTGTGCCCATGGTATGCCTGATTGTCACTCGTTTGTATTTCTGAAACTTATGAATCTGTTCTTTGGGGCGGGGCAGCTTCCACACGTCACGGATTTGTGACCGTTTTGATGCAGAGCTCCTTGGGCCCATGCCACAATGGGAGGCGGAGAAGCCCAAAGAGGAGCCAAAGACGCTTGGCCTGCTTGGCTTTCGGCCGTGGCCGTGGCGTTTCGAAATCCAAAGTGCGCAAAGTGGCTTTCGTGGCTGGAGTGGCTTCAGGCAGTGGGGTAAAATCGAAAAAGCCAATTTTGAAGCTGAGTGCCAGGACCATCCAAGGCGTGTCCAATAGACTACCCTACCCTATACCTAGAGATCTCCATTGGACACCCTTTGGATGACCTAGGTGGTTTCAGAATGTTTCAGACATTTTTGTTTTCAACCTTTGGGATGATTATTGACCCACTGACTCGACTCCAACTCATATTTGTCAAGTGAGAAACCGCCAGCCAGGGAGCTGTTTCAAGGAAGTGCAGTTGCAGTGCCATCCGCGGAAAGTCCATCGGGAGAAGTGTGGCCTGTCTTGAAGGGAGACCTTCCAGCTCTTCCTCCCCTGAGAGAAGAGTTGGGTGGGTTGGGTGTGTCTCCCTATAGCTCAAAATGCATACCCACCAAGTTGTGTTGTTCTCATGATGACCTGCATGCTGCACCATGTCCCCGGGTACTTTTTGGGATCCTTGGCCTGCTGGTGCCCATGGTTCAGGGAACCCCACACAAGGTGCCTCGACTTCTCCTCTCACCCGAAGAATTCGGGCCCTCAACTGGAAAGGGTCTGGAAAGCGTCACTTTTGTGAAGATGGAAAGGGCCCGACCCCCTGCCATGGACAGCCCGTTCGGACCCAGCGGGCTGCTTGGACAGCGCCGACTCTCGAGGAAGGAGGAGGCCAAGCCCGGAGAGAAGCGAAAGGCGCGGTCGCCGAGTGGGCACGGCCAGCGCCCAAAAACGCCTCGCGACCGGAACAAAAACGATCGAAAAGAGTTCGGTGGAACCCAGTAAAAACATAAGTAACAGTACAGGATAGGAAAGGCAAGAAACATCTGATTGTTTGCAATAAATTTACTGTAGATAATTTTTGATATATATATATATATGTATATATATGTATATCATATCTACCACACTACCGGGGTCTCCGGGTCCCTCCAGAGATTGCTTCGACAGTCGCCCGGGGGTCGCTGGCGCCACGGGCCAGAAGAGTCGGTGCTTTTGCTTGCAGACACGGGACTGGAAGATGTGCCGATCAGTTGACCCCTCAAACCTATGCCCTGGCCCTGGCACACTGTATGGAGCGTTTGGGCTATCCAGGTCCACCAGTTTTCTTTATTGGTTGAACGGAAGGCGCGGTAACTCTTTCTTGCGATGATCCAGATTCGATTTTGGATGCAGAGCAATATATGAGTGACCATTTTAAAGAGCAGCCAAAGCAAGCTCAGAAGGCGTGGACTTCACAGTCCATTCCAAATCGTCTTGATCTGACAGCCTTGACATCGATGTTAAGTAAGCCAGAAGATGGCTTACGTCATCTGGTTGATCAGGCTGTCCAGAGAGCTTTTGCCACGACACCTGTAAGTCGCCAAGCCATGCAGATTTTTGACCTGTGTGGGACTTCAGTCGAAGGGAAATTAACTGAATTTCCCTTCAAGGAACTCCTTTGGCTTGGCGTCTCTAGTTGCCTAAAGGCAAGACCTGGAGTACCAAAGAAAGGAGGACTGATTTCAGCACAAGCTGAAATCGGCCTCCTAGTTTTGGGCCCAAATGCGCCTATTGAGTCCGTGTACGGAAGTGTGAATGCTCAGTCAGTATCCCGACTTGCATTCCTAGCAGGAGTCTATAGGCGACTTTCAGCGGATCAGAAGAAAGCCTTGTTGGACAAAATTCCAGCCGGCACGTCTGCACATACGCTAGGTGCTGTCTGGCTGGAAATTGCTGGTGTCCTTCTGGCCAGGCGACAAAGGATTCCTTTCAATGTCAAACCTGTTCTGTTACGAATCACCCTTCCCACTGCCTTCGGACAAATGATGTCCAGAGCTGCATTGTTGCCAAGCCGAGTCACTAAAGTCCATGTCATAACCTGGAGATCCAAAGTGGCACTTTTTTCTATCACAGTGGCACGTGGCGTATTTTCCGAAAAAGTGTCACAGTAGTACTTTTTGCTCATGGTTGGTGTTTGGCGCTTGTTCTCTTAGGGCGTGTTGATGCTTTGCAGTGGCGCGAAGAAAAACATCCAGCGCCTGAGCCAAGTCTTCTCACACGCACTTGTGCTAGGACTCTTCTGATGTTTTCGCGCCTGTTTTTGTCAATGCTGGACGCGGCTTAAAACATGCAACTTTCCCGAAAAGTTGCGAACATTTCCGAAAAGTTGCGAAAATAAACGCACGTTTTGTATGGTTCTTTTTTCGCAACGTTTTCATCACATTTTGGCACTGTGGGAGCATGTCTTCAACCAAAATCACGACGATTTCGTTCCTCTCTCCCCGTGACTCCGCGGTTCACGCAGAGTTCCAAAAATGTGGTGGCTGATTTGCGCTTTCGTTTGAAAATTCACTTTTTGCTAGTGGCGTGTTTTGACTTAAAATGTGTCACAGTGGCGAGTTTCACTTTTTATTTTTTACCACTTTGGACCTCCAGGAAGCTGAGGTGAATGAGTTCTGTGAAGGTAGGTATCACTGCACTGTTTGCACTGAGGCAGGTGTTCGAATTGAAGCACAACTGATTCATATTGCAGGATGGCAGAGAATCTCAGTGGACATCTCGGAACGTGATGAAGAAGAGACTACTAGCGATGTTCCAAATGAGGACTGTTTGCCATTCCATCAAGAACCCAATAGTAAGGACGAGCAAAGCCTTATGCAGACAACGGCCAGAGCAATTCCCGAGTTTGACCCAATCAGGAGGGCACGCTAGGACAGAGACTTTCTGTCATCTTTGGGTCGAAAGGGATGGACCAATGCGAAATCGTTTGCCTGTTGCCCTGCATAGGAATACACCAGCAGTTTTGCAGATTGCAAGCAGGTGGGCGCAACAAGTGCCGATTGACCGCATCAGATTAGTTCCGGTAATGCCGGTCCCTGATATAGGAGGCGGACCGATTCCTCACATATTGGTTCTTGATCACGACAGCGAGCAAGTGCTGCCTGTGCTGTTTGATTATACCAGCGACAATAGGGTTTTCACTGGTACAGGACTAGTGAATTGTCAGAATGGATTTCCCGAAGTCCGGGAACTTTTCGATGTCCTAGTCCCAGGCCATGCTTGCCGTATCCAAAACCTCATGTTTAGTTCGAGCCAATGGCAGACATTATGTCCCAGGTCAGATCGTCATTTTGCATGAAGGAATCTTCATACAACTTGATGAGCAGGACCTTGATGCAACCACTACTGACAATGCTACTAGCACCGATTATGACCCAGAAGCCAGCCGGACTTCCACCACTGCTTTGAGTTCTGACCTTAGCCTGCAGCCTGCGCCTGCGGCTTCTGAGTCTGATTTTCATGGGACTGTTGGATCTCCAGTGCCTTCGTTGTTGGGTCCGTTCTTTGATGTTGATCAAGACGGTGCCCTCTATGTAGCCGGGCACGATTTTGATCCTGAAGTTGTCCTACAGTGGTTTCAAGCCATAGCTGTTCAGCGCACTGCTTTCGTTCAATACGATAAACAAATAACTGAATTCCAAAATCATGCAGGGGTCAATGAGTTCGTAGGGATAGTCCTTGTTGTCACTGGCAGTGATTGGAGCGACGTAATCCAGGTGCCGACTTTTGACTCATCCGATACTCATTTCGCAGTCTATGGGACCTTTTCCAGAGAAATTTGATAGATGAATTTCCAGTTCATGTGCCATTGCAGCTCTGGCTAGTATATCCTAATCTCGAGAGGGGTGAGCAAGGCGGATACATGAGTAGGTACATCCTAGTCGACTATGCCTGCCCTGATGACCAGAGAGCTGTAATCGTTCTTGTTGAGGATCCTGAGGAGCCGAAAGAGGCAATAAGACTTCGGCCGCAGATGACAAACCTGCTGTTATACATCCAAATCGGAAAAACTGTCAAAAGCACCTCGGAAGATTTTGTGTGCACTACCAGTCATAATGGCAGGACGTTTTCACCTGGGTCGTGCTGGCCTGTTTTTCATGGTATGAAGATCAAGGTTGTTATTCAGGAGGTCAAGAGGCCTTGTCGAGACCCTCATAAGATAATGTGCCTTTCTGGTATTGAAACAAATGGCACCAATGCCAGCCATCCCGAATACTTCGATGACGTAGGGGACGACAATGCCTTTATGCAGTTCTTACCCGAAGCAGAACTGTCTGTGGTAGATGAGCTTGTACAGCAAGTCACACAGACGCAGTCCTTCTTTGGGATTATCGGTATACACCCGGAGGTTGAAACTAGCAGTGATATCCTCAGAGCGTACATACACGATAGGAAGGGACAGGTCTCAACCGATGCCTTCACTGTCTATGTATGGATGTTGCAGATGCCGCAACCAAGGGTTGTTCATACCGCGCAGAGATGTGCGATGCTGAAGGCCAAGTCATATACTGCCTCGCTACTACTGAAGCTTTGAGAGGCAGTTTTTCCCCCCAAGCCTCTAGCGGTCACTCTAGTCCATCCTGACCTGCAACCACTCCAATTACGAGCAGTGCCTACTGATCTGATCGTGGTACCTGAAGTTGATGTTTCGCAGGGTCATCGAGTTTACCTGATTGATGTGGTCGGCATGCCATTGCCGCGAAGACTTGTGCTCTTTGCGGATGACACCAGCACAGTGAGGCGAGTGAGGACTATTGCCCGGATGACAGGAGCTCAATTGATTTGTGAACTGCCTACGACTCTGTGCACGATGCGATCGGCTGCACCGGATAATCGGCAGGTCTGGTAGTATGATCAAGTCGTAATTACCGATCATGGGGCAGGCCTAACTCTTTGGATCGAGCCTGTCCGAGTCGGTCAAAAGGAAGCAGCTTCGGTATGTCCAGATGCCACTGCGCTCATGCAACGTGCCCCGGCTGAGACAATATGGAATTTCGATAGATATGCCAGGGATTCTGTTGAACTAGGTTACATGCACCTGTGGTTACATGACTGGCATTTAAAGATGATATTTTTCAAAGTCAGCGCCGCAGGGTCCGTTGGGATCGGCCGAGATCTCTCCAAGGTGTCCGACAAGTAGTCTGGAGGGATAGGAACTTGTATATCTGGCAAGCAAGTCCTGTCCGCCCGTTTCCGACAGTCGAGGGGGCCAAACAACCAACATTGATTTGACACCCAGGCAGCAGCAGTAGAAGATGGGCACTGCTGGTGGGGGGTGAAAGCGAGGAGCGCAGAGTCTTAGGAACTACCGTTGTCCAGGCCAGCTTAGCGCCAGTCAGTGTCGAATTCCTGTTCGATCAGGTACTACCACGTAATAGATGTAGAGAATGCAGTGTCTGTACAGCAGTCATGGATGATGTCACCTTCCAATACTGGGTTGACATTCCGCTGTATGATGGAGCCTTTGTAGAACTCAGAGAGCAGGCTGTTGAACGCGAAGACACTACCACATGCAGCGGACTGTCGGAACAAGCGGAAGAGTCCAATCTGACCGATGACAACATTGTCTTCTTGACTCAGCTCGATTTCAGACAGTTCCAATCTATCCGACGCTCTGAATCTGGTCGCTCTGAATCTGGTCGACCTATTTCTCTACTCAAATGCGCAGACAAGGAATTGAAGATCTGGATAGGCATTGGCAGTATTTTGAAGAAGAAATGTTTTCTAGAACTTCATGGCACCGCTCACAAGCCATGCGGCAAGAAGTCTTGGCGATGGCCCGATTGATTGGAATACGAAAGTCTTCCTACTCTGGTTTGGAGACGGCGATGTAATCTCGAGGCAAGATGACGTCCAATGGGTAGATGAGCGGAGCACACAGCCAGGATTGACGGAAGCTCGCGCGGAGATCCGATTGCTGCTATGGGATGCAGCCGAATCCAGATCTGCCGACCCCAGCGAGCCTTCAGGGAAAAGTATTTCTTTCACCTTTTCAGTGGACGAAGGAGACGTGGCGACCTTCCAGGATGCCCTGGAGGCGCTAGAGCCAGAACCTGGAGTTACTCTTTGGGTGTTATCGGTAGATGTCATGGTGTCCAGCACCTGCTGCAACCTATTAAAGGAGGACACACAACGGCGAGTGCTTGCTGGGCCACCATGTGAAACTTGGTCAGTGGCCAGGGACCCGGATGATCCAGGCCTCCATAATCCGGCCAAGAAGAAGTCGCCAAGCATCTGGAAAACAGCTCTGCTCGAATGGTTTAGACAAACAGGTCTTTTCACGGAGCTTCGGCTGGAGCAGGGCTTTTATCACCAGGGCAGCCCGAAGCCAACAAGGTTCTTGCTGAGCGGTGTGACTTCCGACGTAACACATGATTTTGAACTTCGTAGTAGGACATCGGAACGGCCAAAGGCTGTTTCGATTGGAAGAGATGGTGTTTCCTTCAAAACAGCAAAGCTGAAGGAATGCACACCACAGCTCTGCGCCATGATCGCGCAACTGTACGCTCATCGGTTGAGACCCCAGTGCGAAGCACTGGATGAGGCTCCCGATGAGTATGAATGGATGCGATCCTTAGCAGTCAGCAACTATGAGCACGAGCCTCACGGACCTGACTTTGCTGGCGCTGTACAGACCTGAATTCATCTTGCTAGGCGGCGCGCTTCACTGCACTTGCTGCATATGGAAATGGAAAAAATGAGCGGAAGGCAAACGGGTACGGGTGAGGGTAGCTTCAAAAGGGATTGGCCAACTTGCACTAGCTGAGCCCCCTGCGTGGCGCTGGGCTCTTATCATGCACCGGTGCCACAAATCACCACCATCACCCCTCTTCGCTACCAACAAACCACCCATGTCTTCAATGCCTTGCAGATTCTCGCAGTATTACTTTACTATAGTTTTGCCGCAAAGTTTTGCCTAAGGATTTACATAAAACCGGCTCTTTTACTATCTCTAGCAATCCAAGTACCTTCTCAGAAGGTAGGACTGGATCCCTCCACATAACAGTGTCTCCGTCATCACCCAATTTGAGGTACGACTGGATCCCCACCAAGGGTACTGGGTTCCACCGAATTCCACCGAACTCTTTTCAATCGTTTTTGTCTGTTTTTGTTCCTGTGCCCCGGTCGCCCCACTGCCCCGTACGCGCCCCGGGCCCGCCTCGGAATCCGCCAGGACGCGTCGGCTCCGGAGGACGCAAAGCGGCTGAAGCCGACGCCGCCGGATCCGCAGGTGGTGCGGCTTCAGGCGCCGGGGCGTGGTGAGGCTTCGGTGAACCAGGCGAAGCCGGTTCCACGCGGAGTCGAAGAAACATATTTTACATGGGTGGAACCTTCTTTATAGTTCAGACCTTGATTGTCAGATATGTTTTTAGTTTGACATGTTTCAACCACTTTTGTTTGGCTACTTCTTGCAGCCGTATGGTTGTGTCAGCAGTATGAGCAGGAGTTTAACAATAATTCAGGTATTCTAGGGGTTTACCACCCTGTTCTAAAGACTCCTGGTCGAAAAGAGCGGCGGGAGGAGTGCCTGTTGTTTCGGACCCTACCCCTCCCCAAAACAGGACCTATATGGTGCTTAGAAGACTTGCCTACTTGAACGAAAACATCTACCCAGTACCCAACTCTACAGGTCACCACTGTCGCCACCTGACATCGTCTCCAAAAGGATTCAGAAGAGACCTGCCTGCCGAATTCAGAAGTCCGGTGCTGGTACCAGCAGTCATGGTGTTTAGTCCCTAAGTGAGTGGATAATGGGCACCCCTAACCTCCATTAAGCACCCCTTTGTGACTGCTGCTACATGGCGTTAAGTCGACTCAGCTTGTACAGGGATGCCTAAGCATAGATTGTATTGATCTAGAACACATGTTTTGTGTTGTGCCCATGGTGTGCCTGATTGTCACTCGTTTGTATTTCTGAAACTTATGAATCTGTTCTTTGGGGCGGGGCAGCTTCCACGGAGTGAAGGGTCACGGAGTGAAGTGAGGTTGGCTGCTGCTGCTGCTGCTGGTTGGCTGCTGCTGGTGCTGCTGGTTGGCTGCTGCTGGTGCTGCTGCTGCTGCAACTTAGCCGCTTAGCCGTGCTCTGTCTTAACTCCTCCACCCCGTGTAGAGGATTGGGAACAGAAAAGAACGACGGGGAAAGAACAAAGGAAAAGGATAGCAGGCAAGGAAGAGGCACAGGTCACCCAAGTGTGACCTTTGTCTTAACTCCTCCATCCTGCGCGGGCGCCACAGGAAGAAGAAGATAGAAGAAGGGGTAAATAAAGAAGAGGAAAGAGGAAAAGAGAACAGGAATGCTCTAATACTGTCTTTACTCTGCGCGCGTGTTGCGTGACAACTGTAATCTGCCAAGGTAAGAACCCCCAAAAGGGCAACATAACATGTTTTAACTCTGTCACAACCCTGTCGTCACTCTGTCATAACTCTGCGCGTGTTGCATGACCGCTGTAATCTGCCAAGGTAATAACACCAAAAAGGGCAAAAAAGGGAACTCTGTCGCAACTCTCAGGATTGCCACTCTGTCTGAACTTTGCCACGGCTTCAGGAATTTGAAGTTTATCACATTCCCCGGCAAGGCCTTCGCGCGCATTGGGCAGGCTGAACTTGACGATGCAGCCTGCCTCACGAAGTGATGTTCAATTCAGGCTGTTCGGACATTGATGGAGCCAACTTCCAAAGAGGAAGTGGGAATGCACGCGTGCACACGCTGGCCGCACGTATGTTTCATGCGCTTTGAGTGTACTGGCACCACTAGCAAATCAAATCGCAAGTTGCCACAATGTCAGTTGCCGTTTTGAGCCGGAAGAGGGTCAGACCACAGATGGGCAAGGTTTTTCCATCTTGAACTTTTTCCATCCACATGGCACATGCGAAATAGATCCTTCAGGCGTGTCTCTCACAGATCACAACCGCCAGCGATCTGTCTCCAGCGAAAGCTCATACCTTTGTTTAGTCATGTTGAGGACATACAAAGAGAGCTGGAGAACGTCTATGATGTCCCGGACCTCTCTGACTACAAGTCACGCATCAAGGCGTATCCAACCGCGGAACAGAATACACACCCCATGACTGTGATGGAACCTGGTAAAGTTGCAGCACTCCACAAACAGCTCTTTACGTCAGGCGATGGACGTTGCGCTCGACAACCATCCTGCTGGCAGACCTCAGGGTTCCGGCTTTGAAAGTGATGAGCAAGACTTTCGGTATCAGAGTTACCCGGAAACGACGTTGTGATTTACTCTATCCATGAAGTCAGAGCGAAGATGGAGGAGGTGCCGCCTGATTTGGACACTCAGCACTTGCGCCTTCACACCATCGGTGCGTCGGGTCGGGTCCGTCACTTCGAGTGCAACGGACTTTGAGGACTGCCTGTGTGATTGTGTGTGTGTGTCACCACTGGAGTCATGCTTATGTATGTGGTACCCGCCGTCCAGCGTGGCGAACTGTGTGCTCCTCAAGTCCAACACCATGATGCTCCAAGAGATGCTGGAAGCGGTGGTTACGCGGGAGACCACCAACCAGGCTCTGCCTCAAACAAACATTTCGTGCCACCCATCACTAGTAGGTTGGAGGCTACCGCTATCGCTAGTAGGGAGGCCAGTGCTATGTAATTTGCTTGCCACAACTGTGGGAAGCTGTGGGAGTAGGAGTCGTGTTCGCACGAACCTCGCGTGGGGTCGCACGGGGCTCGTGCAGAGGCCTACATGTCACTTGAGTGTGCGCATGCAACCTAGCTGTTCTCTAAGTTGCGCATTGGTGTGAATGGCGCTGTGCCATTGAAATTTGGGCTTGAAACATCGAGAAAGCAAGGCAGAAGTGCCAGCCACAACACCGTGTGCGCACAGTTTTCCTTGAACATATCACTGTCATGCCGTGCTAATTATTCAAGTGTGTCCATTGTATATTGACCAAAATGAGTCGACTTCACGCGAGTGGGTTGGCTTCTCGCTGAAGCCTTGTGCCCATGCAGTAAGTTGACTTCACGCGAAGTGGGTTGACTTAAGTACGTCGCTTATATAGCGGCGCCCCAGCCTCGGGACGGTTCGCTGTTAGAGGCGCAGGCGGCGCGGACGATGCGGACGTGGAGAAAGACCCTTGTTGCTTAGAGTAGTCCTCGGATTCCCACCACCATTGATTCAATAATAGGCTGTGCCGAACAACCAATGCCAGATCAACCACTTTGAGAATCTCTTGGCCCTTGGGAAGGCTAGGGGTAGAGTAAAGTTGTGTTCTTTGTGATGGTCATGTTCAAACGGTTTCTACGGGTGACAGCACGACGGGCGCCACGACCATGCAGATTTCTATTCGGTTGTTGGATTTCCCATGTTGGATCTAGTCCAGGATGTCTACCCTCCCATAATTAGTGAGTGGGAATGTAGGTGGAGTACTACCTCTCGGATGAGAATCTGAAGTACGACAAGTTCTTTCACGAGAAGATCACCGCGGACAAAGATGGCTGGCTGGACCCTTCGGAATTGAATCATTTAGGAGTCAACGGGTATAAAAAATCATGGTCTTTCGGGGGCCTGAAAAGGAATTTCAACCTCTTGGAGAAAAGTAATAGCCTTTGGACATTCGATGGGACTTTCGGATGAGTGGCGCGGCCTTCTGTTTTGGGGGTCCTTCTTTCGTCACACGCCTACCGCTCGGTGCGTTCTTGGTTTCGGAGAAGGAGAGCAGGTCGGTTTCGGGCGCCCGAACCAAGGAAAAAAACACCTGTTGACAGTTGAGATGTTTTTTGTCCATCAGCTGCTGTGGTACGGTGGATTTTTTCACTTTATGATCCAACGGTTCAACTGGGTGGTGTGAAATATTCATCAACAGCTTCCAAGGATTTGCGCCAGGTGCGGGGGGGTTTCCCCGGGGAAGTTTTCATCCCTTTCGGATGTCCATCCTGCAAACATGTGATGGAAGATGGGCCCCCTCATGACCATTAATTAATGAGAGTGGGAAGACCGGTTTTTGTCCAAAAATATGCTATAGTAAAAAAACAAAAAAGAAACGGTTTCGGGATCATCACCCAATCATGGGCTTCCGAAGCACGGTGAAGTGTTTTCGCACCCCGCCATGTGTGTCAAAAACATAGAAAGACCACGGTTTTGTCGAAGGGACAGGGGGTAATTCCTAAAGGGAGCGAATTGTTGCGAGGCACTGTAAGTTGGGTCGCTCTCCTCAAAGTTTTGCGACAGGATTTGTGACGCTGAGCCTGGAGGCTCCAGCAGAAAGGTGTGGTTTTATATAAACGGCTACCAGACACTTTCTTACTGAAACAAGGCTTCGTGCTTCCTTCGCTACGAGCACCTCATGTTCCGGTGGTGTTTTTTACATGATCATCGGACCAACGCAAGGCTTTCTGGTTGAAAGGGAGCCAAAAAGACACCTGGGGCCAGGCCTACCTAGGCCTGGGCGGGCAGTTTTGGGTGATTTGGATCCTTCTCTGAGGAATTGCAGCTCATCCTGAGCTGCAACAAGATGAAGAACATGCGCGCCACCAAGGTTCTCCGGGTTCGTTGGATCGACCTTTGCTCGGAGGAAGAACCGGCGGCTTCGACACCAACATAGGTTTTGAATGGTTGGTACCGAACAAACATGAACAAACCAATTGTTTTACTAAGAGGTTTTCCACTACCAGGCCAACCATTTAAAAAGCAAGGTCTTGGACTCCCAGGGTGTTGTTTTTTTAAACGAGACTACCCTTTTTAGCCTTCGGCTCGACCATGAAATGAACGCTTGACCTAGTTTTTGCAGTCAAATCCATATAGTAAAACATTTTTTTTTGTTCGATGGTTGTTCGGGATTCAGGCTATTAAATCAATCTCAGACACTCCATGTCGTATGCCATCATATATGCCTACATTGGGGTGGTGCCTGTGGGGTCTGGCTTGATCGGCATTGATCCGTCACATATCTAGAACTGGCCCTTAGAAGTCCAGTTCGCCTCGACCTTGCCGAAGTTTTCACTCAAGTTTCCTACATCAAAACGTCTTCTACCAGGGCCCCCGGATAGGGGTGGTTCATGGACATCCCTTCAGCTCTAAGGAGCTAGAATTCGACATCCTGAAACGGGGGCCCTGGTAAGTCTTCCTTGAACAATTTCCAGCCTCCGACTCTACAGGTCTCAACAGCATGGTTCTGGGCCCTGGCAGGTCAAACCATGGGTGACCTGGGCTGAAACTCCTGCTGATCAAGTTGGGCTCCGGACCTCTTCGTGTCCTTGACCTGACCCCTCCGGACCTCTTTGACCGGGACCACCCACTGAGATCCGGATGGACTCGGGACTCGTCCGGGCGGATGTGGCTCCGGGCGGAGTGCGCAGCGAGAGCGATCGGAGAGGAAGACGTGATCGCTGCGCTCAAAGAGTCCAAGATCGAATTAAACGAGGCGCGGCGAGCCACGGAGGGGCCGGACCGGGCAGCCGGTGGTAAGGAAACGCGCGGGTGGACCGCGAAGCGAAGGGAAAGTGGAATCCACTGGGCTTTTTGCGACGTGCATTTTTTTGGCATTGTGCTTCCCAAGCATCAGATTTATAAAGATGACTTGAGCCTCTTGCCAATGCAGAAAAGATAAGCACACTCCCTGAAACAATTATTATATATTCAATCATTGAAGTGAAACATGGCCCCTTGGATGACCATTTTCCGCTACCTGGACCCTCTAAAGTACCTTAGAAAATGGGACATGACCCCATAAAGACAGGTACGACTGTACCCATTTTCCGAGGCACGAACAGGTCGACCTCCAGGTGCAAACAGGTTTTCCACTTCTATGTTCTTGAACTCGGAGTTTGCCCTCGAACGCCCGCAGATGGACCCATGATTGGACAGGTCGGGTCGGGGGCGTTGGGCATCCATCTTCCCGGGTGGTGCCGAAGAAAAAACACGGCGATGTGGAGCCCTACTGCGCCAAGTACCTCCTCAGAAGGTATTTGGACATATTTGGAGCCTCTAAACGTACGACTGGAGCCCTAGGGTAGTTTTTTTCTCCAAAGCTGGGTGAGTTCATGGGTCCCAAGCCTGGGAACCTGGGGAAGATTTCAGACATTTTGGGTTCCGAACCACCTTTAGCCGCCCCATTGCCCCCCTTCTCAACCAATACAGTCCCATGATTATGTATCATTTATATATAAACATATACCAGAGATCGAGGAGTCACAAGACGGGGTGCCTCTTGGAGGATAGGGGTGCCCATGATCCACTCACTTACTAAAAACCACACCGTCTTGTGACTCCTGGTACGTGTCTGGGACATGTTACGTACTTTTCTCCCCTCCTCCTGGACTCGCTTTCCACGTGCCGCCCCCATCCACGCCCTTCCAGGGCCAGACCGCTCTTCGGCGCCCGGGCAACGCCGCCCTGTCGCGGGGCTGCAGAACTGGCCGTGAGACCGACCTTCTTGGGCCCTAAGAAGCCTCGGGCCCTCCATGGCAGGGGTCCGGACCCGAACCAAACCCCTACTACATGTTGGTTCGGGCCCGGATTCTTCGGGTGGTTTGGACGACGTGTTGGGGTGAGGTCGGATGAAATCCCCTCTTGGGTGTGGGTCCCCTTCACCCGCGGCCCGCCTGGACGGCCCCTCCGACTTCGGTGGTCCCGACACGTCGCAGAGCAGAGCATCATCCCCATCCACCTCGTCAAAGGTGGACAGCTTCCCATCCCCTACAGCTCCAGCCGTACCTCCTCAGAAGGTGTTTGGACCCTCCAGGCACCCACCCCAGGTCCCACCTTCTTAGAACGTACGACTGGAGCCCTATAGGGATAGGGATCCCCGAACATCCATCGTTCAACCCGGGGCAGACCTGCCGAAGATCGCCGTCACCCGGAGTGTGAAACGCGCTCGAAGAGCGTAGAGCGTTGCACCCCCGAGGCCGAAGTTGGAATCGAAGCGCCTCGGAGTGTCCGTCCGTCCGACGGTCCGACGGTCCGGGCGCCGGAGATGAAGAACTCCGGCCTGGGGGGCGGACGAAGGTTCGGCGCGCGGAGGCTCAGGGTTTTCTGTTCTTTTCTCATCGCAAGAGAGGTTGAGAGACCCGAACTAGGACCCTGTAGTGGTACATATGAGATGGGCTCTATAGGGCTGCCCAACCTCTCTTGGTCCTTTTTTGGCAGCTCTCAATTTTTTTTTGGGGTAGACTCTAGACTTTGATCTCGAATCGCCCCCATGAAGAGGTTCAGAAGTGATAGGCCAGATTTAGAGAATTGGGTGGCTGCACGGAACTGGCGAGGCCCAAGCATTCGGCCTGGTCAGTTCTCGCTTCCTATAGCTGCCCCTGCATCTCAAAAAGTCTTGCCATTGGCTTCAGAACTTGCCACGTTCCAAGAGTGCCGTACTTCGTCTCCCCAAACAGCCACTGCACCCCCTCCAGATCGGGATGGATTCGAACCCCCTTCCATCACCTCCATATGATGGTCAGGCCTCGAGAATCTGAAATTCCATAACATAGAATCTTCCCACCCTAAGAATCCTTGGGCTCGCCATGGCAGGGGTCGGACCTTCTCCACCGTTTCACGCAGGGGTCCGGACCCGAACCAAACCCTATGTGTTGCGAACCGGGCGCGGATTCGAATTGGGGCAGTGGCCGAGGCATCATCCCCTCGTTGGTTCGGTCACGAAGAGGCTTGTAAAAGGTCACAACCAAAGTTCGGTCACTGGGTAGGTCCTGGAACATAGAATCTTGACTACCCTCCAACTCACTCGCTGGAAATGGAAATGGACCATTGCCCTTTTGGGAAGACGATATTCCTCTACAAATAGGGTGGTTTCCACTTCCATGTGAGGTTTTCGTGGGAGTGTAGTTTCCATCCGATTTGGATGGCAAAAAGCCTCTCCGAGCCTTATGAGCCTGTGATTTTTCTATTTTTGCACATTTTGTAGTCTGATATGACAAAAATATCTGGAAACATGCGGCATGTGGGAAATCCTTGCACCACGCATGATGTGTTGGTGACCGCTTTGGGATGCCGATGCCGAGCCCACTTTTTGAGGCCGACTCATCAGAAGAAGAACTCCATCCATGCGCATGATGGTGCCTGGGCGATCGAATCGGCTGTGATGCGTTGCTTTTTTTTTCCTGGGCTTTTGGACCTACCTAGCACTTCGAACGGGTGCCCAATGGAGACCTGTAAGTAGGGTAGTCTATTGGACACCCATTGGATGATCCTGGTATATAGCACTGGAAAATGGGTGTCCATCCTGGAGATCTATAAGTAAGGTAGGGGCCCGAGAAACGCCACCTGCAACTAGGACGCCGCACAAAGATTTGGAACATCTTTCCCTCGGTCCAGGGCGGAGTGGTGGCATGTATTTGGGCAGTTGGGGTGATGGGCGGAGTGGCGGATGATGCGCTACACACCGAAGAGACTGGTGCAACGGGGTTGGGTCGGCTAGTCTTCCAGTGTGGTCCAATGCCGGTTACACCAGGTGTCTCAAACACCGACTGTAACACCATTTGGTTGGGGCAGTTCTCCAAGTGAGCTGGGGCAGTTCGCCGAAGCGGTGGCTAAGGACGAACTCATCCATGGCATGTGTGTGTGAGCTGACCATTGTAGGCCGTGTAGTAGAAAGAGAAGTGTCACAGTAGCAAAAAGACTTCCAAGGTCTTTCATAGACCTTCCACTACCCCCTTTTTTGCTGGCAGCTTCCACTTCAGTGCTAGCGCCTCTTTCGGGAGCTTGTGACGGGTCCAGTTGCATGCACATCTTCGCAGTGTGGGCCCGATCCGTTGAGGCTGGCCCCCTTGTCATTCGTGCCTAGTACCAGGACCCTCCTGTCAGGGTGCCCATTGGAAGCCTATAGTGTGGGGTAGTCCATTGGGCACCCCGACAGGAGGGTCCTGGTAGTAGCTTCTTGTTACTGGTAGTAAGGCCAGGAGCCTCGGCCCTCGTAGCGTCCGAGCATCTCCGTTCGTAGCGTCCATTGTGCAGATCATGAAGCGGGTGGGTGCATGGATGTGTGCCTCTGAAAAGAGGGCCACAGGGAGGTGGTCGGCAGGTACAGATGGTGAGCTTGCATTCGCAAGAGTTGAAGTTTGTTTGTGGAGAAGCCACCACCACCAGGCAGAAATAGTTTTTTAGTATAGCAGGGCGGCCCATAGCCATCCATAGCCTATAGTTTTGTAAGGAATAGACATCGAATAGAATTGTTAACAAGTAATTGGAGTACAATAACAAGACAATATGAAATACACTCCAAGCACGACTGTGATTGGTCCCAGACCATATTTTGGTTGGTTGGTGGCCCACAATGGTCACGGTCACGGCCCTCGGTACACGACCTCTCCTGGCAGATCTTGGGGCTCCTGACGTGGGGGAGGGCGCGTCGTTTGTGGAGCGCATGTCCAGCGCCTCGGCGGCCATCGCGGGGACGCTGGTGGTGGGCACTCTGGCTGCAGGAGTTGCGCTGGACTACGACCGGCGGCGGCGCAGGCAGAAGTGGGAGAAGGAGCTGGAGGAGTTGAGGTCTCGGGCGGAAGAGGTGAAAAAGCAGGCCAGCTGTGCCAGGAATGACTTGTATGAAGCCTACATGCAGCACTATTCCAAGGTCTTTGGACTGAAGCTTCATGACCTTCGGCAGCGTTTGAAAGACCGGAAAGGTGACACCTTGTCCAACTTGCCCATTCTTGGTGATACGGAGCCGCTGGACTTTGTACAAGCTGCGGTGGCGCTGCTCTTTGGAGACGCCGCGCTGGTCCAACACCATTGGCCTGAGATGCTTGGATTTAGCCCATCGGGCGATGTTTTTTTTCTAAATAATCCCCGAACTGGGTGAAATACCATAGCTAACCCAACCCGAACCAGCAGTTACAAAGGGGTGCTTCCTCGTAGGGACTGAAGGCCATCCCTCTGTGACTCCTGGAAGAATTTTTTACCCTCCATCAAACAAACATGGAAGTGGAACAAGGCCCCTTGGAAGGCTGAATTCCTCTATGAACAGGCTGTATTCCACTTCCATGATTGTTTCATGGAGGGTAAATATGCGCTCGGTTTCTCGCGCCAATTGCAGGATGTGCTCCTTTGGGTCGACCATCCAAAGCATCCACTCGGCAGAACCCATCATCACCTCCTGGCTCTCTGACCTGGTGCGGGAGCCCGGGCCGCTGCCGACGCTGCACGCGGATGAAGACGAAGTGTTCCGACTGTGCTTGGCTCAGGGGCCGGAGCTCTGTGAGTTGCACGCGCAGCCGCGCGGCGCCGCGCGCGCGGCGTTGCAGAGCCTCCGGCAATCCTTGGGCTTCGTGTGCAGCTCGGGGCACTTCGTGCAAGGTCGGGGCGACAGCCTCGAGTTTCACTCCAAGGTGGAGGCCCTAGGCTTTGCAGCCTCGGAGGCGGGGCTTTGGGCCAGCAACTTCGAGCACCCTAACACCTGGTCGAAGCGAAAGGGCTCCACAGACACAGGCTTTCAGGTGATGGGCATGAAGGGGGAGCAAAAGCTGGTGGATTGCCAAGTGAGACGTGCCACCACTGCGCAGATGCAGGCCCGCGCGGAGTTTGTGGCACATGTACTGCTGAAGCGATCTGCCATGGAAATTCTGAGACGCTTGCAGGCGCATATGGTACATGGCTTAAGGGGATGCACTCTGGAGTGGTGCGCCGCCATTGCCGGGGATGGGCTGGATTTGATGCCAAGATTGCTCTTCGCAAGGGACTTGGACCTGAGCATTTTGCAGGGCGGCCAGCTTCGTAGAGCCATGTTGAGGAACTTGGAGGCGGTGGTGCGGGCCAGTAGGGCAGAGATCCAACAGTTTGTCAGCAGCTTGGTGGAGTACCTGCAGACCCAGCACTATGCAACGAAGATGCTTCAAACTAAGGCGGTGATCCAGACAGACCTGGACGCGAAGCTTCAGCACCCAAAGGACTTAGCGCGGCACATTCGGCAGAGCACCTTCAACGCCGCCAATGAGGGGCACTTGTCCAAGCAGGGCCTGCCTGCTATGCTGAACGAATCCCTCAGAGGCTTACAGGAGCTGCGAGAATCTCAACGCCTTTCCCTGGAGGTGGCCCCTATATGGTGGACCTTATCCTTGGCCCTCACGGCTGTAGCCTTGGCCTTGCTCTTGATGACTCTCATCTCTCGGATGATGTTCGGATTCCCAACTGCCGCGGCGCTGACGTCTAGCTTTCAGACTTGGCTCTGGCTCAGAGGCGTGCCGCTGGACGGCCAAGGCCGGTCCTTTCACCTGCTGCCCCTCCTTCCGGGCGTCCTCATTTGGCTCGCAGCGTCCGCCAGCTATGGCTGGCCGGTGACGCTCATCAGCTTGGCCATGACGGCCCACGTGATGTTCTCCCTCGTGTGGCAGCGCTTGCCGGTGCATTTCCTGCAGATCAGCTACAGTTGCTTGGATCAGGTGGAAGGACCCCATGTTTGAGGATAGGATGGATCGGTGACCTTGCTACAGTCTGGCGGCGACAGCCTCTGAAGTTGAAAAAGGCCCACCAAAAACGAATCTACCATAATCCACCCAACATACGCTATCCCCTAGGAGTCCAAGACTAGAAAAGAATGGTCTGACTAGGTGACCCGAGGAATATCCTTGACTTCAGTCAGTCAACATGCAATCTTTGGACTTCCAGGGTATCCTTCAAAAAGGCTTTTTCCCTCCACCCATCGCTGAGAGTTGTTCTTTCCGTTCAGGTCACATGGCTCAGCGTTTTGGTTGGCCCATGCTTATTTTCCGCAACCTGGACGCTCTGGAGGCGCAACTGCGCCAGACCCTGAGCCTCTGGCGCCAGCGCGTGGCCGCCGAGCACCTGCGCGAGCACCTGCGACGCGGTCGCATCTCAGCGCTGCAGGGCATTCGCTTCCTGGAGGCTCTGGAGGACGTGGGCGAGGGAGTGCTGCCAGGGAGCTTGGAGGAGGCTGAGGCCTTCCTGAACCTGCCACTCGGTGCCAGGTGGACGGCGGTGCGGCCTCGTATGGATTCACAGATTCAACCCAGACGATCTGTGTGTGACCGACATTTACCACTAAAAACCCGCCTTTTGCTTACCCAGTGGATCCCAGGCAGCTCCCACGTCTATAAGGAACCAGGGATTCTAGGTCTATGGGTTTAGTCTTTGGAACCACTGGTTACCAGCGACATCGTGGTTTGCCTGGATGCGCTGGGTTAGCTTACATTTTACGGGTCCTTTGAATTGTCCGACCTTCGTGACATGGATGTGGTGAACATCTCTGACTTCCAGGATTCGCCCGGCCAACCACTCGCCCAGGCCCGTGGAAGAGGTGGACGGAAGAACTGAGCTGCCGGACCTTTCACAGTCCTTGCACGAGCTGGAGGTGAACGTGGCCCACCAGGTGGATGCAGCCATCGAGGAGGCAGAAGAGCTCGTGATGCCACTGGGCACAACTTTTTCCTGCGGCCAGACATGTTGGGAAGAATGGACTTGTCGTTGGAAACATTTGGAAACATATCGAAGCGGCTGCTCAGATGGACATGGTATATACACCATTAATTAATACACCATCCAACAAAAACCAGCCAAAAGGAATAGATTTTGCATCGTTGGAATCCAGGTATGCACCATTATACACCCAACACATGCTTTTTGGGCCACTTTTGGGGCCCCACGCCAGTTCCTTCCAGGCTTTTTTTGGACCTTCAGTGCCTGCCATCGATTCCACGCTTTGGTTTGATGAAGGATGATGAAGTTTCCAACTTCCAGCACCCCCCTTCTAGGACCAAATGGACCCCCCCCCTTCCAAGACCAAACCCGTTTGAGGTGTCTAGGAAACAATTACTGTAGGAAAAGCCTCGATCTTGGAGCTGATTCGGGGTGTCCCAAAACCCACCGGACGAAAGGATTGCAGGGCTTTGCTCTTCCAGGCATTCCAGGTGCCTGGTTTCTGGTGCCATCCTGTGCACGACAGGCTCGGGGTGGAGGACGACTCCGACGACGAAGCCGCGCATCCTCCGGCCGACGCGGCGCCGGAGCCTCCGGACAAGGCGGACGCGGAAGCGGAGCCGAAGCCGCGGCGGCGCGAACGGAAGTTGGAGACCCTGCTGCGGCGCCAAGGCTTTCACTTTGAACGGCGCAAGAAGCGGATCATCTTCCGCCACCGGGGCCCGAAATAAAGAGAGAGAGAGAGAGAGAAATAAAAAAGTTGGGGTCTCCGAACTGTTTTTTTCCTCCTGTTGTTGGTCCCCTTTAAAAAACGGGCCGTTTGGTTTCTTGTGCCCAAGATGCTGGGTGGACCTGGTTGGAACCTGGAAACTGGTTCACTTTCGTGCACTAAGTCTTATGCGATGCTGGGATGAAGGTGAAGCAAGGTCTGGTGAAACGAGACTCCCTGAAGCCAAGCCATTTGTACACATGGTTGGAGGGGAGATGGGGTAGTCCCATGAGGCTTAAACCGTCCTGAAGCCCGTCCTTTGAGGCAAGAGCGGAGCTTCTGAGCAACTCTTCTCCGCCACCGCGAAGCCCAAGGACCCTCGACACCGGCCACGGGAAGTGGCGAGGCTCAAGCGCATGAGTGATCCGGCGAGGGACTCCTGGCGGCGATGTTGAAAAAGAAGGACCCGAGGCGGAGAGTTTGGTGATGAAAGGGCCGGTGTGGGGCTGCAGGGCGGTGGGCCGGTGTGGGGCTGCAGGCTTGGAACTGCGATGGACGTGGACGCGACGCTTGCTCGCTCCATTCCTGTTTGGGAATGTCATCCGAGATTGAAACCCAATGGTCCTCAACCCTCCTTTCAGGATCAAACATGATCCAACGATCCAAGATGATCCAAGCACTTTCTGGTGGTTTTTCTGGCCTCTCCTGGCTTCCTTTCGTGGCGGTGTCCTCAGGCGGCGTGGTGACGATGTTCAAGGGCGTGCCCGCCGAGCAGCAGTGGACCCAGGTCAAAGCCGCCGTCCAGGCGCAGAACGCGCACGGTAGGAACCCCCACGGAACGCGAGCGTTCTCCAAACCGGGCCGGGGGGGACGAAGTGCGTGCACACTCCTCAATGAGCTCAAATGCTAGCCCTTGGTTACTAGTTACTAGTAGCGATGCCCACTAGATGTTACTATATGGTAGCTTCTTGTTACTAGTAGTAATGCCAGCAGCTACTAGTAGCTTCTTGCTCCTAGCAAAGGCGCAGCACTTCAAATGCCAGCCCCATGGGTCCACATGCCAATTTGAGGTGGGACACACTCATTGACTCTTATTAGCCTAGAAGTCCACGATTTTTGGGCATCGAAGTAGCGGACATGCCTCTCGGATCACCTAAAGACCATGCTACCCTAGAAGTCGAACCGCCATTGTTTTAATAGCCTTTACCGAACAACCATGGATTCACTATATACACTACGAAACCAGATCAACGATTCAAAAAATGGTCGACTGGACTTCCAGGGTATATAGATTTATAAATACGTTTTGGACATTCCATGGGTTTATGTCGGTGCCTGGGTCCGTGTCAGCACCTCGGTCTGGCCAGTCGTTCGCCTGGTCTTCAGCCCTGCCGCATCGCGATCCCTTCGATCCGGCTCCGCGCTCCAGGAGAAGCTGCCTCCCAAGGTCAATCTGTGGCACGTGAGCCAGGTCAATGACAAGCAGGTGCGGCACGACATCGTGGTTTGCCTGGATCCGCTGGGAGATGTTTGAAGAGCACTCCGCCGCTCCAACCGGTTGGAAGCTAAGAAGTCGAAATAGACAATTCGATTCATTTTGGAGCGGTGGTCCTTGGCGCCGCGGTCGCTCGAACTATGTCAGACATTGGACACAAGAACCGGGTCCGGATGAACATGCCCTAGGGCTCCTGGCCCACCTCCTCAGAATGTAGTTAGACCCCCCTGGCACCCACCCCAACCATCTTTTCAGAAGGTATTTGTATCCATAGGGGACATGGAGCATGCCAAAAACAGATCCTCCGGAAGGTCGTCCAAAAAATGGATGATCCTCGCTCGGCACTGCGGTTGTCACAATGTCTGAACTGTGAGATGCTGAAGTGCAGCGGGTATCGGGTCCAAGTGCTTTCATTGAAACAAAGTATTTGGGTTTGGACTGGAAGTGGTAGCAGCCGGAACTGTCCTCAAAAAGGGCACAGGTCTACATGAAAGTCCCGTGATTTGGGGGGATTGGTTCCTTTGAAAAGGTTAGCAGCCAGGCAGAGGACCACCTTGCTTTTGCACTGGTGGGTCGTGCGGCCAAACCTTCTTACTAGTGCTCCACATGTCCTCCTCCCACTGAAGATCTGTGGCGTGGTGAGAGAGAGAGAGAGAGAGCACACACAGAGAGGAGTGCACCATGGTGTGCGCGCCTTTCGACGGTGACGTGACCTTCTTCGAGAAGCTCTCTCTCGAGCGGCTCGGTCTCGGTTTAGCGCGCGCGGGGACCCACGCGCACTTGTCGTGCGCAGGGCCGCGTGGAGGTTTGTCGCTGCGGGTCTTGTAATCCAGTCTGCGAAATTCCGGAGCCGAATGGCTGGACCTTCATTTTCCCGAGGGTAAGGGTAGCCAATGATATTTCAATCAATAACTAGACTATACATATAATTACATCATGATTGGGGATCTGAAGGCGAACTTCGATGGTTTTGTTGTCAGAATATATATATATATATACATACCTAGAACCTAGAACCCATTTGACCTTTGGGTGCTCCAAAACAGAGGTCACTCAGGTTCAAGGTAGAGCTATATTATATGTTTTCGGATACTATACGTATCTATACCAGCATCCTCACTGCCACCACCAGCCACGTGTTGGGTCGTCTCCATTTCAGCCACCATTTCGGAGAGCCGCAAGGAGTCGGGCGATTGGATCTAATGTAGACTCTGGATTAACAATACCCCCACATGAAGAGGTTTCTTAATCCAAATGGGATGGTTGATGAATCAAGAGTCTACCTTGGCAAGTACCTTGGCATAGGGCTTTCAGAATCGTGCCATGCGAGTTTGGATCTACCTCGGGAGCCGGTTCTTCACGGTCCCCCTTCAGAGCTTCCGCCTTTTGGTTGAGCCTTGGCCTCCACCACCGGGGCTCGGGGGCTCGGGGGTTTTCTTTTCTCCAAGGTTAGGAGGCGCCACCCTGAAGTGCGAGATTTGCTTCGGGGATTTGCTGCAAAAGGCGCAGCCGGGGTAAGCGCTGGTGGACACCAGCGGAGGGGGTAAGCTTGAAGAGTGGCAACAAACCTCACGAAAAGAAGTGCAATGCACTCTTCGATGGAAAAGAAGTCGCAAGTCGGGTACCAGAATCCACACTTTCATCCCGGGGACTACACTCATGCTGCATGTGTTTTTCTCGGCTTGCAGTGCGAGGAAGCAAGGCACTTGCAAAGCGTAGGTGGGACCGCTGGAGCACCTCCCGTTTGAGCAATGTGGGTGTGTATTTCAACTATAGGGAGACCTCCCACAGACCCCCCTGGAAGGGAAATAGGCCAGGTCTACCTATTGGTTGGTTGGATTGGGCGTTTCCCTGCCTGCAGCTACAGCCCCATGTGCGTTGGTTCCCGATGTTCCCGCCAAGAGTGGTAAGAATCAGGTTCGGTCACTTCAGTTTTGGACGAAGGTTCAGTGACCAGGTTCAGTGGGTCGAGAGCTTCGAGAGGTCGAGAAGTGGGGCGTCCAAGTGGGGTGGTGGAGACCTGGATCTTCCAAACTGCAGAATTTCCGCCTTTTTTATCTCTAGAACCAGCCAAGGTCGGCAGACATACTTTGCATGGAGGATCCAGGTACTAGTAGCCACCCATCTATGGCCCAGGGCTCCTGTCCCGTCACGGTCCGCTTCGGTGAGAGCTCCGGGCAGGCTCTCAAGGACATGCCCAAGCACATCCGCGACAAGCGGGACACCTGGGTTTTGGCTTTTAGATTTTGGGGTCCTGCACCTGGGGAATATGATGGAGTCATATTATACGGCGTAATTCTGTGAGATGTTTTGGCTTGGTTCCCTACCAGCGCTAGACAGTACCGGTCTCTGAAATGGTGGCTGAAATGGAGACGACTTGTACACGTGGCAGGTGGTGACCTGGCAGGTAAGCTAGGCGCTGGTCTATCTTTCTTTTTGTTCCATGATTCCATGGGCATACTCACCCTACCAGGACCCTCCGACGGGTCACCAATTGAGACCTGTTAGGGTCCAACAACCCTCAACTAGCAGCCTGGCCAGGAGGGTGCTGGTAGAAGTCCAGTTCGACTCTATGTTTGACCGGCCGAAGGATCCAGGATATTCCTTGACTCGGGTCACCGTTCGTCGGATCATTCTTTTGATCGCCGACGACTCTGGACTCTCAGGGCTGGTCCCAGGGCATCCGTCGGCAGTTCCCACGATGTCGCTCGCTGGGAGTCCCGTCGTGGTTCCAAAGACTAAACCCATAGACCGAACGAATCCCTGGTTCCTTATATAGTGGCAACTGGGATCCACTGGGGGGTCCTCTCTTGGCTCAGCCTCAGCCAAGGAAAGGGAGTCCCGAAAGCGTCAGAAAGAAAGGACCGGGGCCGCCGGACCCGGGGTCGGCGGCCGGCTTTGGACCAAGCAAGTGCTTTGTTGTGGCTGGTCCAAGCCCGGTGAGGTGTGCGGAGACGGCGAAGAACTTCTCAAGCTGGGTGGATGGAACCCCCCTGAAGACTGGGTCCAGCGGGAACGCCGAGCGGGTGTAGAAGATCTTGTCGATCCGTGAAGTAGATGAAGGTTCCCGAACAATGAGGCCCCTAAAGGCATGTAAGGACTCTACTAGGAGCAAGGACGCTACGAACGGGGCTCCTGGCCGCACTAGGAGCAAGGACGCTACTAGGAACAAAGGGCATCGCTACTAGGAGCATAGTTGCAGTTAGACTCCCAGAGTTTGCAGTTACAGTGGTTTCAGAGTTGATGGCACACTCCTCGAGTTCGGTGGTTTATATGGACCCCGATCTGACATTTTGGGGTTTGTGCCATCTACTCTGAAATCACTGCCACATTCTGGTGCCATAGTCCCATAGTGTGTGTTAGATTTCAGGAAAAACTCGGGGTTTCGTTCACAGGCGCGTCTATTGAAGGGTGATGCAATGGGACCAACCTGGGATTCGCCCGAGGCGTGCCGCAGCCGAAGAGACCTTCCAAACGAACGTCCCCAGCGAGACCAAACCTCAGAAGTTCATCGTCTACTCGTAGGGTCAGCAGAAATACCCAGACACGGTCCATGGGACTGCCATATTGCCCCCCCAAAACCACCCCAATTGATCGGCATATATGGCAGTCCCATGGTTCAATGATGTTCAATGGAATTCGCCTTCTCCGTTCGCCTTCCGGGCAGATTCAAGCAATGGTTGACCTGGTCTTGGGAGTGTCACATCCTTATCCTGGCCTTCAAAGACCAAGAAGAGAATGGTTGAACTGGTGTTGTGTGACCCAACACCCTCAGGGGTGCCAGGAATTTCCTACCAGGGGTGCCAAAAATCGTCGGACTGGTCTTCCAGCGTGCCTAGAATTACCTAAAGCCTGAATGACCTCCTTTGATTTTGAGGATTAATTCTCCAAAATACGGCCTTTTTACGCCTTTCCCTTAGTATAGAATAGAAGCTTATGTTTGGGTTCTAATCCTATAGGTATTATAGGTGAAAGTCTTCCTTGTTCCTAATGTTTTCTTGGACAGGTGGTGGCCACCAATCGAGCTCCCTAGAATCCTAGAACAGGAGACCTGGTGCTTCTTGGAGCACTAGGTGGCAGATGGTCACCCGTAAAGCCGCACCTGCCCTCCGCCTGCGGAGGAATCGCCCGATCAAGCTCGGCACCTGCCATTTCAACAACGTCTCCATGCTCCGGGGACGCGTGAAGGATCCTTTTTCACGCGCCGCGCGCAACCGCGCGACGCGCAGCAGGCGTTTTTCTTGGGTGGGGATGAGGGAAAGCTTAAGGATTTGGAAGATTTTGGACATGGTGGGGTAAGACTTGAAGTTGAGGTGCAGGTTTGGATCGATCCTATTTCGGAGATCTGTAAGAAGTCCGACTAGAGAACGAAATCCATGCCTAGCACCTTCAAAGGAGTCACCTGGCTGGAAGCCCCACTAAGAGACCTCCCGACAGGACACCCCGAAAGAAGCCCCAGGTTCTCCGGTAATGGGCACGACCATGGGCCAACCAAAGACCGGACCGAGTCACTCGGCAAACAGACTGTCAGACAGAGGGTCTCCTGGAGACCTGAAAGTCGAGGTTCGTTACTCCATGGTGGAGCGATTTGGGGTTTTTACAGGGTGGTGCCGGATGGTGGCGCATGGTCTTTAAAAGAAAAGGGGCGTGGACGGACGGTCAATCTCATGAGTTATTGTGAGGTTTCCGTTGTTCGGTGTCTTCCAGCTCGGTGCACAGACGCGCTAAGCCGCTATGAGGGACCTGATGCTTTGTGTGCTTTGTCCGCTGGGCCAGCACTCGGCTTTCCCAGACCCTAATCCAAAAGGCGGACTCTGATCGACTGGATGATATCGGTGGATCGACTGGATGAACCGGGCTACCAGCTGCTACAAGCTGCTAGCATTGGGTGATCTTCTATATATAGGTGCACTGTTGGACGGTCCGACTGCTCCTCGGGCTTGTAAGGAAGGTGCGGTACTAGATGACTAGATTTGAGCCAGGATCTACTATAGATATATACAGTACATATATACATCAACATACAGGAGACAGGCCAGTTTGGTGTTTGCAGGCACTTCTGGCCGGAGACTTGTGCTTCTCAGGTTCACAAAGTACTTTGACACACTTCCGTTTGTGTAACAAGTGTAACATAAATGAACATGAATGCATGAATATGAATAGTGTGTCCTTTTTGCCTTCTTCATCCTGAGCAGCCCTGTGGGGTGGTTGGCCTCTCCTAACGATCCTAATGGTCTTCCCCATCCTTGGCCTTCCAGGTCCCCAAACCAGGCAACTGGCGTCTCCATGCAACGTCCCTTCCTCCAATGGCCGAAACGGGCCTACCTCGGCCGTAGCTCGTCCCGCCTCGGCCGCTCTCCTTAGCTCGTCCGGCTCGAACGGCGCCGGTCGGGTCCGCGGGCGGTCCGGTCGGGTCCACGTGGAATGGCGAATGGTGGCGACGCCTGAGGGTGGCCCGGCAGCGATGGACGAAGCGAAGTCCGAGGTGGTGAAGGGCCAGGTTGAAGGACCTTATAGACTATCCCAGTTCGGTACCCCTGGTGACGGGTCCTATTATACGATCACTTAACATCACTTAACCTCTGTTGGTGGTTTGGGCGAGGTGGTGGAGTGGTGAAGTGGTTTGGGCGAGGTGGTGCGGCCTTGAGGTTCTGTGACTGGACTTGGTGGTGTTCTGTGCTGAAGCTACCGTGTTTTTTTTTTTTTGTGCGGGAACCCCCATCAATTGGAAGTAGAGCCGTGGAGTCGTAGACCAATTTCTGGTCAAACCATGTGTCAGGCACCGGGCGATTCAGATCAGAAGCTGGCTCAGTGACTCCAGGCGTGACCTGCTCCCCACTCAACGGCTTCGATCGCCAACTCTTCGTTGGCTTCGATGGGTGGATCGGATTTTTCGACGTAGATCACGTGCCGCAGGTGTCGTCCAAATCCGCCCAACCCGGGGTCCGAAGGGCCCATCTCCGACCCGGTGACCGGTGGGCACAGACTCCCCTGGCCGAGCACCCAGCCCGGTAGCCCATCGAACCGAAACGGAGGTGGGCCAGGAGCCCACCACCCAGAGACCTGTTCGCGGCGGTGTGGAAGGCCGCGGCCCATCTCCCAGGTGGACCGACCTAGGCAGAGCCCGCTTCGGTCCGTCTTCCAGTTGACCACCCTGGTCCCACTTCCACCTCCAAGATCTCCAAGGCCGGACCCACCGTGTGTTCTGTCCATCCCGGGTCGTCCAACTCGTCATCCACTGATGTCCTTGGCGGGTCTCTCTCTCTCTCCTTCGTCCTCTCTCCTTCAGGCTTCTGCCGGTTTTTGGCCGGGCATTGGCTGGATTCCTTGGGCCATTCGATCCTCGTGAGCCATCACCCGCCCGCCACCGTCGCGACCGCGGTGCTCACGCCCTTGGTGGAACACCCCACCGCGCAAGACCGCACCGCGGTTGAAGCGCAGGGGGATGGGTTGGGATGGGGGGTGTGAGATCTTTGGAGCTACACACGCGGTCAGCCTCCAGTGGCTTTGTTCCATTGTTCATGTAGAAAAAGAAGATCTACTACCAGCACCCGACTCTACAGGTCTCCAAAATGGCGGCTTTTGGAGACTTAAAAGTCGCAGGTGGTGACCTGGTGGAGGGTGCTGGTAGAAGGATCTAGAAGGGATTTTCTTGCAGGAGTTTTGGTTGGTACCCCCAAAGGGCCGGAAGGCAGACCATGGGGCCCTGGAAGAGTTTTCTTCCCGAAGGTGCAGTCACATTCACCTTCCATGCGCTTTCAATATCGCAGTGTGAGATGCCTGTGATATCTCTGATTTACTGTCCTCTAGCGATGCCGAGCTGATTTGACCCATATTTTGTTAACATATTGTGAACACAAATATGTGCTTACAATGCTTACAAGAACTGAAAAAGAACCGCTAAGATTTATGTTTTACTCTATTATTTGTACTTATATAAATGTGTTTAATCTAGCTCGTGTTGTCGGTTTTATGAGCAAGGTTTTTGAGGGGTTTGGATACCCCTGCCAGGGTCCGAGGGTTCGACCCCCTGCGGAGGTGTCGGGTCCAAGGATCCTTAGGAGCGTCCTTGCTCCTAGTAGTAAGGCCAGGAGCCCCTTAGTAGCTTCTTGTTCCTACTTACTAGCGATGCCAGGAGCCCCTAGTAGCGTCCTTGCTCCTAGGATGGGGTGTCTGGGTTTGGGACCAAGGAGTCCTTCGCATTGAGAATGCGGGCAGTGGATGGCGCTGTGGCCCCTTGTACCTGCACACTGAGCGACACTGGCAGTAGCAAGTGGCTGCGGTTGGTGCTCCCCTGAAGGACGACACATAAATTTAGATACCAGCTGTTTGTAGAGGCCAAGGGGCCATTTTCCACTTCCATATAAATGAGTTGGAGTGGATTTTGAGTGATCAATGTAGGTATGTATCCCAGTGGAGTTTTGGGATAGTCCATCCATGCCATTGGTGACCAAATATGGCAAGAGATTCTTGGGCAGATTTTTTTGGGATGCCTGTGGATCTTTTTGATTTTGGCATGGGGGGAGTTTTCCGCTATTTGGGTTTGTGGCACCTGCGAAGGCTCACCTGAAAGAAGGGGCCAGGGGTCACTTGTGCCAAGATCTTCCGATGCTGAACCACCCATTAGTTAGTTTGTTGGTTAGTTAGTTGTTTAAGAATTGACAAGCTGAGACGTCTATATCTCATTACTCATGACCCAGGTGCTTCCAGTGGGCAGTTGTCGGAAGCAAACTAATGCACATTTTGATGGCTCATGTTAGGGCGAAGGTTTTGTTTGCATTTGATATTCTTGTCCTGGAGGCAGGACAGCTCGTTAGATGGATGTCCGATATTGGATGATGGATGATTTCTTCTTTCAGGAGGGTTCAGCCCTACAGTAGGCCCTAGGGCTCCTGGCCCATATCCTCAGGTTCGGTGGTTGGACCCCCCTGGCACTCGCCCCAACCATTTCCTCAAAGGAGGTAGGTAGGACTGGAGCCCTAGGGAGTGTTGCGTTCTCTTTAGGCTTGTCACTGATCCAACTGTCCATGCTCGGTTTCATGACTGAAGCCCAAAATGGGGAAGCGAAGCTGGCTCCGTTCGCTTCCGAAAGATGAAACGCGCCGCTGGCCTCTCGCTGTTCCAAAGCCGAACGAGTCAAGGAACATGCACCGGGATCCTAAATATATAATTCCGAGACACTCCATGGGACTGCCATTCCCATGGAGTGTTGGGGATTAACAACAAACATATTCAAAGAACCGGTTCTCTTCGCCAAACTTACGGCCTCGGCCTCGGTGGGCGACACCAGGGGACACCTAGCAATGAGTAGACTGACTGGTCTATTTCTCTTCTTCCAGGAGGTGTTTGGGAGGTCTCCCTATTTTAATACGCATCCACACGCATCCACATAGGCAACATGCATTATTCTGGCCTCATCTGACCCCTTCTCTTTGTAGAGTTAGACCTGGTAATCCAACAGCCAAGAGGTCTATGCTGCTCCTGGAAACCCAAACAACCAGAAACAAATGGTTGTTCCAATATGGCAATTGAAATCCTTTACATAGGAAATGGCTGTTTGGGGAAACATCCATTTGTTTCTGGTTGTTTGGTTTCCCAGGCTGCTACCGAATACGACTCCTCTCAAGGTTACATGGAAGGCGTGGCCCCGAAAGCATGATCATTTTCCTCTACCAACAGGTGTTTTGCCCCACGTAACATCACGTGACCATGATGATTTCCAGGGATTGTGCACCTCATGTTGACTGTTGATTGATGAACTCCCACCGACTTGGGCAGAAGTTTGGTAGCTACCGCTCATGTGGGTGGCCTCCCTCTCGGAAGTTCCATCCCAGTCGTGAGAAACGCCCGAATTCCGCCAGACTTGACTCTCCCAGGCAACGTGAGCTTGGAGTTCGTGGATGAGAAGAAGCAGCGCTTGACCTGGAAGACCGCCGATGGCCGGCGGAGCATCTGGTCTCGGCCCCCGAGGCCTCGGCTTTAGGTGGCCCCAACTATCCAACCTCCGACCACCTCAGAAGCTGTATAGCTAGACCCCCCTGACACCTACCCCAACCACCTTCTCAGCAGGTGATTGGAGCCCTAGGGGTGTAGCAGTGTAGCAAGTGGCCCAACAGAGCCAAACAGGTCCGACCTCGATCCTCGCCTCGGGCAGGGAAGACGAGGGAGAGGAGCCGGCCTTCCCCTGG